ATGGAGTCTGGTTTTGAAGAGAGCAACGCAAGAGCTTCATTTTCCCACTGGAAATCACAGTCTGACATTGAGGTAAAGCAGTGAAAATACTCTAAATATATCGTACACTTAAACTGATACTGATTATTTTAGGTGCGACTTTTTTTTAAGGTGGCTAAAATATGTTTTGTTGGTGGCCCCATGCACAGCAGTATATTGCTTAGCTTCCATGTCAGACTCTAGGCTACTTCTCCAAACTGGGGGTGTGCTGACTGACATCTACTGTATATAATACACTGTCTATGGATAAGTACCTCATACAACCCCACTACAAAAAATCAGAACTGTACCTTTAAGTTTGCCTGACAGAGAATTAGGATACCTTTATTATTTAACTTTAAAATGTCCTGCTTAGTGCACATCTTATTGAGAATGTGTTGCATTTCATGTAACACATTATAGAAATAAATTACAGAATTAATTTAAAAATTGTCTGTGTTTGGTCAGTAATTTATTCAAAGGGCCCAGAGACTACACCCACAACAACTACTGAGTTTGAGGTGGACCTTTCCTTTCAGGCATCATATGTGGGTTAGTATGTTCAGAACGAATAAAAATACTTTGCAGGATTATCTTCGGACACGTCATTTGGGATTAAACTGCACTCTGAACAGCCTCTGACTCCGTGAATTCACCGGATAGCAGGACAGAGCATGTTTGGAGGCAGGAGACAGACTTCAGCTCCAGGCGTCATGCAGCATCCAGACAAGTGCCTTCATCATTTGTCATTTTTAATATAAATCTTTTCACCCTCACACAAATTGCACTTTTTTTTTATCTCCAAATGGACACACAGTCAGCAGTGGACAACTTACTGGTTGACATCTTCCTTATACACCGTGAACTGGCTAAAAAGAAGGAGAAACAAAAAGAATAAAATAAGAGACATCTAACTTGATCTTACCACCACTTTACTATGGCATGCATAGGTTTCAGACCTTACTCAGAAAGAGACAACAGACACTTTGTCTAAGAAGTTTGCTAAACGATGCCGTGACTGCTTGCGATCCAGGAAAAGAAAACAAAAGAAACCCAAAGAGAAACAAACCAGAAAAGCTCGGTTCCACCTGGGTAAAAACTAGAGGAGAAGATGGGAGTCGTGTCTAGCGTAAGCCTCGGCATTCCTGTTTCTCTGCAAGTGGCGAGCACGAACACACAGGCTTCAAACACACAGCTGCAATGTCGTCTTCCTAAAGTATTTGGTTCTTTATTCTGTGAATGTGACAGCCACAGTCCTGTTGACAATACTGAGTGTTGTTTTCGTTTTATTTTCCCCGCTGATGCTAAGAAACGCGAGAGGCCAGAGAAGAACATGGTGACAAAACTGAAACCTCGCCTCTGAGGGATGATGGGTAGACATGTGTAGTTGGAGACAAGCGGACTTGAGGGCTTTTCATACCTGAATGCTATTTCAACAGCAGCTTTGGAAAATAATAACAACACAGCAAGATGCTACCAGGGAGCAACGCGGAGTCGAGGTTGACTGAAGGTGAACCGGCGTCTGAGCCAGTCCGAGGTCGATGTTAATTATCGGGCAAACTGACAACAAAACAAGCAACAAATCTGACACCTGCTACCCGACATTAAAGCGAACTGAAATTTAAATTCTTCCTTGATGTTTGTTCAGAATTTTAATCACCAAACACAAGAATTTAAAGTATTTTTCTGCAACAACAGCGCCCCCTACGTGTGAATTTTTGGTGCCGACTCTTGATGCCGGTATGGCTAATCTGATTCATGCAGTACCCTTGTAAGTAGGCACTAAAATTATTTCAGATCATCACTTCAATTTCAACAACAGGCGTTCAGACAGCTTGGAGTCGACTTTGTTAGCCCTTATTTTGTACAGTGGTTCCCAAAGTGGATGCAGTAACACGCTGAGGTACTGTAAGGACGAGCCAGGAGTGACGCCAGATTTATTTCTGTTTTGTAAATTCGACTTTTGCACACATGCAGCTGGGCGATGTAGTTTTAAGATCATTTTTTGCAGCGTTTTTGCCTTGATTAGACAGGACAGATCCAGAGTGGATGGGGGAGAGAGGGACATGCAGCAAAGGGCCATGGGTTGACATTGAGCCCACGGCCGCTGCAGCAAGAACAAAGCCTCTGTACATGGATTGTCCGCTCTACTAGGTGTGCTAGTGAATGCTCTGGGTTGCTGAACACAGGAGCTGCTGGTCTATGCCCGAAAGAAAAGCCCACATTTCTGGCTGGAAGGAGAAACACGCCTCCTTTTAAACACTAAGATTTGGTTATCAGCAGGTTTTTTTTTTTTTTTTTTACATCCATAAATATCACAATGTGAACCTTTTCAAAAAGGTGGTTGAGGGAATGGCGGGGAGGTGGAATAAGTCCTCCACCACTAGGAAAAAAAAAAAAAAAAAAATCCTACCCAGCCGTCCCCCTTTTCTGTATTTTGTTGATAAAACGACAAGTTGGGGCACGTTATCGGAGCACAGCTGCATGTGAACGGGAATATAAGAGTGACATTGATTTTCATCAGCCATGTGAACAGCTGAGAGGGAATTATCTGTTTTAAAAGGGCTGGCTCTGAGGGAAGCATAAAATGGTCTAGTTGTTTGTGACAGCGGTGCTACCAGTACCACTTTAAAAAAGTTTGGGAACCACTGGCATAGTTCAATCTGTGATTTAAACACTCATGTGATTCTGTAACTCCGTACATTAGTGACTGTCGTAATTTGACTTTAGCGGTATCATACAAAACGCAGTGGTGACAAGACTACTTGTTTTGACACTGTGGTCATTTTGAATTTCATCACTGCCAATTCTGAAACTATGAATGAGAAGACAGCCAAACACGAGCCTCCTTTGCATAATCATCCAGGACGAACACAGCACAGAGTGTGCAGGTGACTCACAAACCCAAACTGAAGAAGAAAAGTAACGTTAGCAAGCTAACTATCTTCAATTTTCAGAGTAAAGAGTAATTAGCCTAGCTTGCTAGCTTCGACGTTCCAAATGAAATATAACCTCAGCAGCATAATGAGTCTTCCCAAATGTCAGCAGGGGACAGAGATTTTAAAACTGTTGACTGATAACTAAAAACAATCACTTTTCACTTGTTGAAAAGGTTAAAAACTTGTATCGATGTTTAGGGGCTGTGACGCTAAAGGGCTGCGATATCTTGCAATCGGTAACGCACCATTAAAAGGGATAGTTTGGATATTCTGAAGTGGGTTTATATGAGATATATATCCATAGTCAGACTATTACACTCAATAGATGGCGGTCTGCACGCCCCCAGTTTGGAGAAGGAGGCTGGAGTACTGCCACCGAAGCTAAACAATGTACTGCTGGAGACAGGGGCGATAACAAAAGCCACCTAAAAAAATCTGTCAGTTTAAGTGTACGTTTTGCGGAGAGAACATTTTCACAGCTTTACCTTTCCATCAGACAGCCTGTTCCAACGGCTTCAGTTCTTTATCAGCGCTCTCGTCAAAGCCACCAGACTCCATTGACAAAAATAGCAATTTTGGGTGGCTGAGCACAGGAGCTGCTGATCTACTGCTGCCTTGATGGGTTAGTAAGTTTGCGTTATCGTGTGACTTTGGTGATTCTGAACTAACCCAGTTAAATGCCAAAGTCACACAATGACACAAACTAACTAACCAATCGAGGCAGCAGTAGACCAGCAGCTCCTGTGCTCAGCAGTATTAAATCACTGTTTTTCTCAATGGAGTCTGGCTTTGAAGAGAGTGATACAATGGCTTCAGTTTCCCATTGGAAATCACTGTCTGACATTAAAGTAGAGCAGTGAAAATACTCCCAACATAGTGTACAGTTAAACTGACAGATATTTTTAGGTGGCTAAAATACATTTTGTTTCAGACCCCGTCCACAGCAGTACATTGCTTATCTTCCATGTCAGATTTCAGCCTGTTTCTCCAAACTGGAGGCGTGCTGACTGACATCTACTGTAGGCAATACACTGACTATGGATAAGTACTTCATACAACCCCACTTCAAAAAATCTGAACTATCCCTTTAAGTTGACAGCCTGTTGCCTGGCAATGACAGCTTTCAGTTGTTAATCAAAAGATGGGAAATGACACAATCATAATCTTTCCTTAACACACAAAGTGAGAAGAACTCAAATTTCAGTTCGACTTTAAATCAAGCGCAGAGCTCGTTTCGAGGCTGACTTCATAGCATCTCAGTTTTAATGTTGCTTGTTCTTCTGGGTTGAGTCTGAAAAGCCCGCCGCTGTGCTGCTAACAAACAACAAAAAACAGAGGCCACCTGTAATCGAGGCCCGTTTCAATCGGCTGCTTGGTTGGACCGTCCTGTTCTAAACCGAGGGGGGGGAGGAGGAGGAACAAAGGGACATTTTGGCTCCTGAGTTCTGTGTGGGTTAAGGATTAGCATAGACATCGATACGAAAATAAAGATTAACAATGTTTGCATCAAACCTGCTGTGTAGCTGGGGATTTGGGGGGTAACAGGTAAAAATGGGGTCAGACATCATCACAGGGTTCCTACACAGGGCTTCCATTTTCAGAAATCCCAGACATTGTCCCAGAGTGTTTGAAGATTCTTTCCTATTAAGTGCCAGATTAAGCCTCACTGTGGAGACAGATTACTTCACCACAAGAACCACAATATGTGAAATGAAAGTTCTAAGACTCTGTGTTTCAGGATGTCAGAGAAGTTACGTTTTCCAAAATCTTACAGACCTGGAGATGGTCACATGTATCAGCTTCCCACCTGCGTAGGAACCCTGGAGTCAAAAAGCAGGAGACATAAAAACTTGTACAGACGAGGAACAACCAGCACGCTTCAGGAGAGACTGGTGTCAGTACAAAGCATTAAAGGATTGTTTGGTTTTTTTTTTCAATGATTTCCTTTCGTTTGATAACTAAATATCTTACTCTATTGATATAATTCCATTTTGTTAAATTCATATATAAACGTTAACATGTACACACGCTCGTCACTGGTAATCGGTGGAATCGGGACCTTTATTATAATAAGTGGAACTTGCTCTTGCTGGCGCTCAACAAATATACTGTGAATGCAAGTAACAATAATTAATATAATGATAATTATAATAATAATAATAATAATAGTCATCGTCGTCTGCACCATGCCTTGTAAACCTGGAAAAAAATAAAAACAAAACAAGAGCCAGGTAACCACCCCTCCCCCGTACCCCATGAAAAACGAAAACAACAACAAAAAGTTTAAAAACAGGGAACGTTGAGTCGAGACTGTAGATTCTCTCTGGCTTCTTCAAAGTCCCGAGTCCACATGCGTCACACAGATCTCCGCCGATGTCCTGAAGTGAGTGGAGGGAGGGGGAGGGGGTTGGTGCAGGGAGTGAAGGAGAGGGGCGGGGCAGGCGGTCCCTAACGGAGCCTTGTTGCGTTGGCTGGAGTTTGGAGCACTCAGCAAGCCTTGGTGGAGACGGACTTTCCAATCCTGTTTTCAGCATCAGCCTGCCTCCGTGTTTGCGTGTGTGCGCACGTTTGCCTGGTAAGCCAGGTTTACAAGGACCACGTTAAAGGGTGGTCGGCCATGGCGGTCACTCGTCTGTTTCTTTTTTTTCTCTCTCTTATTTTTCCATTTATATGGATATTTGACCAGGGCTTTTTATTTTTCAGTCTGTCCGCCCCGGTTTGATGCCCCCAGGTATGAGGGGGTTGGGTATCTGCGGCGAGTCCACACGAGTTCGGCTCTCTGGGTATTTTCAAGTCGGCTACTCTTGGTTGGCGTCCCCGCTGTCAGTCAAAATGATGCAGACGCAGCCTCGCCGGGCTGGAGGTGGGGGTTTGCGAGGCCAACCAAGGTGGAGGCGTATTTTCATATTTACGATGGAGAGGGAGGTGCTGTGTGTGTGTGTGTGTGTGTGTGTGTGTGTGTGTGTGTTTATTTTAAATGTATGCGGTGTGTGTAAGCAGTCTGAGGATCTGCCCAGAAATGACTCCTGATCCTCGGCGGTGTTCGTGAACAAGCAGAACAGGAAGCAAGTGAGGTGGTTAACTTTCTACTACTTGTTATCGTGCAGAGGAGCATCTCCTCGGCTAATAGGACTACACTGATGGAGGAGGTGGAAGGGGCCACTTTTGGACAGGTCCTCAGACTCTGTGTGTTGGTGTGTGTGTTGGTGTGTGTGTGTACACGGGGCTAGTGCAGGTAATCGTCCACAGAGGCGAAGGCGCAGGATCCACTGCCAGTTCGTGCCATGATGGCGAGGCACTGGGCAGCCTGACCCACGGCCTGGGCCAGGGGGGGCTGCTTGGGCAGGTTGTGAGTCTCTGGAGAGAAAAAGGAGGCAGAGGGGGAACAACAAGGTCAGGACTGCAGACAACAAAGAACAGGAGTGATGACGTGTGTGTATGCTTCAATCTTCATGTGCTTGTTGTGCAGTCAGCACAGGACCTGAAGCCCCCTCACTTCACACTGTCCCGACGTATCACGTGGTCACATTTTGTTTTAACACAGGACAGCTGACTTACCTAATATTGCACTGTTGAGAGTGGAGCAGACCGGCTCTCTCTGAATGGCGTCCAGCTGGTAGCCGACTGGGCTGCTCCAGGGGTCTGAGTAGGCCAGCAGGCTGAATGCATCCTGCAGCAGGAGACACAAACAACAACAAACACTGATTACACTGCTCTACTTTATCTTACACACATGTTCTCATTAAGACATCTAGATCAACGATGTGTAACTCTGTTTCTAAGGTCAAACCAAGTAATCTGATTGGTTGTATTCAACGTCTCATTCCTTTACACATGTCAGTATCACTCTGCGTTTGCCTGCTTTCAGACCTTAAAATCTACCCACTCCACCAGGCGTAAACAGAGTGTAACGACAAGACAGTTCTGTCAGATATTAGGCAAAGTCTGCAGGAGGGTGGGGGGTTGTGTGGAAACATTTAAGCAGGATTTATACTTGAGCGTCAAATTGACGCCGTACCCATGGCATAGGCTCTGTCAACGTAGAGCCTATGCCTGACGTGCACCTCCCCAGAAATGTACTTATACGTCGTGGTGACTCAGACCTGTCTATTTCTGTAAGCTGAAACCATTTCCCTCAGTGGAAACGAAGCTTTTATTCACTTTAATTTCACTGAAAAGAAACAAATTGTGAAGACAATAAAGCCTCCACAAAATAGCATTTTAAGTCTGAAAAGTCTTGTGTGTGATTTATCTGTCTATTTATACAATGTAAAATGCCATAGGCTTGTGCTAATAATGTTAGCATCTAACATTTGTTTGTAAAATGTGTTTAGTATAAGACAGTTGTTTTGTCAATGAACCTTGTGAGTTGTAATGGAGCTGAATTTTGTAACATTACCTTTGCTAAATGTTGCTGTTGTCCCTGGCTTCATATGAGAAGAATAAAATTCGCTAGCTGCTAGGCTAATTAATACAATGTAAAATGCCATAGGCTTGTGCTAAAAACATTAGCTTGCTGAATTTTTGGAGAAAATGTGTCCAAAAAAGACAAGTGCTTTGTCTGTGAATGCTGCGAGTTATAGTGAAGCTGATTTGTGTACTTGTGTTTGAAACTGCCGCTATTAAACCATTTTTAATGTGTGTTTAATGTGTGTTTTTAATAAGATTATCTTTATAGGACTTGAAAGAAACACCACTGCTGACTAGTGTTTTGGAGGTGTAACTGCAGAGTGACACACGTTTTGCATCCTGTAAAATGCTTTCAGTGTGATCAGTTTTAAGCTGCATTATGGGAAATGTAGGATTCTTTGTTTTTTTATGTACATACTAGTGAGTAAAAGTCAGGATATCTCAGCTTTCATTCTTTCTCTTTTTTTGTGAGTCCCCAAACTAAATCCACCAAATAAACTTAACTCAAGCTATACTAGTATCACTGCACCTCCACTTCAGATGGAGGGCTTTTAGGTTTCCTAAATGCTTTTGTTGGTCTGTCAGCTTTTTAATGCTTTTTTTGTCACCCAAAAATGTAGCATCACAGTTTTAAGATTCTGGCGAGTACAACTTTCTTTAGAAAGTTTTCTTTAGACTGAGTATTGTGTAAATTACCAAATATAATGCCAACAGTACCTACGTTTTGGGACTTAAACCAAACAGTTTAGTTAGCTTAGTTTGTTGACTTTTAGTATGTTTATGTACATAATCATACTAAAAGTTTTATTTAGTTAAGTAAATAGTAAGTGCCTAAAATAAATGTTGTCTAAACACAAACAGAGCTTCAGGAACTGCCAATGAAAACAGTTCAATTCATCGATAAGTTTCCACAGCACTGATCTCGGTGACTTCTGTGTTACCTTGAGCATCTTCTTGTTGGTTGAGTTCTTGCCACACTCACGGCGGAGGTGTTCGCTCATGCTCTGGAGCTCCCTGCCGAAATGGATCATTCTCTCGATGGCCGCCTGGCTCCCGCCGCACAGCTGCCTCTTGGACTGGGCTGACTCCACCTCTGCAGAGCCGCCGCCAGGTCGGCATGCAAAATGGAGTTTATAATAAAGTGACAGTACATACACAGCACAGGCATTTAGCTGGAGTGCTTATCCAGCAACTTGCAGTGACAGCAAGGGTAGAAAAAGCCTCCAATCCTTGATTACCACAAGGTGTTCAAAAAAGGACATTTCAGAGACAGAGACAGAATGACGCTGTCTTCTTCTTACAGAGAAAAGAGAGGACAGAAAACCTTTGAGTTGCTCACGAGTGGTTCATCCCTCACACAGCCTCATCAACCAGGGCACAAATGTACCAAAAGGCAACCAGGAGTGCACAGCTGTGCTGATAAATGCTCAAATGAAGCCACTAATACCTCCGCACACACACTGTACTCACCCATGTCTGCGTCACAGTCGTCAGGCTCGGTGGCGTGTTTGGAGCTGCCGTTAAGGAAACCATTGGAGGACGATTCTGTCACTCCGTTGGTGAAGTGGTCAACCTCCATATCCACATCGCTACTGAGGCAGGACATGAGGAGAAGGACAGAGAAACACTCAGTACGTGTGAAAGCTCACAGGAAGTTCAGGAATTCCTCCTCAATGAATGTTGCACGTTGATTTCATAAATGATCTCGTGTGAAACACTTTCTAGCAACGATGTTGGAAGTCAGCACCTCTTTGTAACAATTCCCTGAGAGCTAGAGCTCTGATTTTCTGCCTGAGCCCCACTGGGCCTAACGAGACCTGCCAGGTTCAGGCCTGGCTGGGCTGTAATTTCTCAACATTCTCGCCAATTTGAGGGACTTTTTGTTTCGTTTCGTTTTGTTTGTTAATGAAACTGGCAGTGCTTTTGTGTAAATGGCAGGAGTTTCAGCGGACTGAATCAAGAGGGAAAGTGAGAGAAGAGGGGGGACTACGACAGAGAGGGAGAGTGATCGAACAACGGAGAGGGGCTGCAAAGCAACTTGGTTGACAGTGTTTGCTTCTGCCTTCCCACCAGTGGGAGAGATGTGTGTAAAGGTGCTGACACACCAAGCCGACATCAAAGAAGTAGCGGCGACGAAAGTCAACTGTTGCGTCGTCTACGTCGCCTCATGTCACCCTGTGTCAGTTGCATTTGAACACACTACACGGACCACATCAGATGGCCAAGTAGCACGTACGTTCTGCGTGTGCGTGAGAGGAAATAACGCAAAAAGGGAAACCGGAAGTTCGAGGAATGCATGAGATAAACAAAGTAGCGGAGTCCTGTCAGCCGAGGGGTTTCCCATCTGCGCAGCTGAGCACCGCAGCCCCTCCACACACTATTACATCCAAACGGTCCCGATGTTTCCTCCGCAGGCTCCACTTCACTCAACTTCACTCAGCTGCCCGACAAACCCGCTGCTTCATCCCACTTTAACCTGAATAACAAACCAGGGCTCTGTGCTCCGGTTGGATCCAAACGGAGAGCCGGGGCTAGCTCAGAGGCTAGTGGAGGCTAACTGGCTGTGCTTCCCTCCAGTCATGCTGCGGCTAACGCTACGCTAGCCTCACAGCTAGCTCCGGTTTGTTATTCAGGTTAAAGTGGGAGCCAGAGGAGGAAGCACCTGTTAGCCCTGGTTTCACTACAGGCAGATTCACTCGCTACAGGGGCAAAGAAATAAAACCTGAACAGCCAATCAGAGAGATGTCTCTCACCGACAAGCTCCGCCGCCGATTCAACATGCTCACACCACGAAAACTAGGCCGACAGACGCTCACCGACGGCCCGACTTTGGTCAATGGCCGACCATCGGCTTGGTGTGTCAGGGCCTTAACATGCAACAAAGAGCGGTGATCATCATTTCTGCGGCACATCGCTATGGACCGCTGTGTGCACTAGAAACACTGTGGGGCCGCAGCCCACTCTGCGAAACCTGTCGTTCACATAACAACAGACTATTGAAATAAGGAAGAGAAGAAGAAGTGGCGCGAGGACATACATAGGCCTATAGCTTATGTATGTTTTTAAATTAGGAAAATATAAAATAAGAAAATATTAAAATCTATGTTTTCTACATACAAATTCTCGATTTTGATTGGTCTCGGGCTCAAAACTGCTGCTGTAGCTCGGGCACGAGTCGGGCTTGGACAGAAACTGCGCAGGTTAACGTGGAGTTGGGCCTGATGTTTTTGTCCCATATGGATTGTTATTTGATAAGAATGTTGTCTTTATAAAACTTTTGTGGCATGTAGTAGGGCATGCAGGCTTTGTCTTTCCTTTAAACCACTGGAGGTTAGCAAAAACAAACTTTTGAGCTGCTGTTAAGTCACTCTCTATGCTTACAGTTGAGCAAGGCCAGTTGTGTTGTTAAATACAGCAGTATTTCTGTATTGGCTTAGAAAGGAGTAAATCTTAATCAGACTCTCTGCAGATTTCTTCCAGTAATGTGGCTTTAAGCTATTCAAATTAATGTGGATTTCAGTTTCAGTGAGGGGATGGTACCAATCACAGCCAGTTTCGAAGCATACATTCAGCTTTATATGCAAATTAAATGGCATGCTGTGTGTGTCAGTGTTTTCCTCAGTACCTGGTTATGGGTTGTTGGCTGCGGCTCCCGTTGAGGCTAACGTCAGACGCTGGGAGTGTGGAGCCAGAGCCTGGGGGGCAGGGCTTGTGACTGTGAGGGGAGGAGCTGTGGCTCTTATTAGACGTCACACCATTACAGCAGTTACTGTCAAACCCTGAAAACAACAGAGTGAAAGATGGACATGTTTTTAACTATTAATGAGTGACATCTCTAGTATAAAGAAGGCTCTGCTGATGCTGATGAGTCCTCTTCAACTAGATGTCATTAAAGTGTTTCTGTTTAAAGTGCAGCCACAATCTGATCACCATAAACTGTATTTCTGTCACAACTTGCAATTACAGTGTTCTGTGTCACAAACATTAACTTTTCAGGGCTACTTAAAGATAGTAACTATTCAGTGAACACCTGCACAGCTGTTGATCCAGATACTATTCAGCCAATAAAAAGAAAGATGCCAAATCTGTAGGTCTAAGCACATTTTATAGAGCAGATACTAGGCTGTAAAAAGATAATTGCTGTCACTGTAAAATGCAAAATGATTTATATATCTTAATGATCAGAGCCTGTAATTCCCAACGGGCACAGACTCACCAACAGACATTGATTAATTGAAATAAGTGTCATTCATCTAACCCCCGGAAGTGATCTCAAGAGCTAACCCCACCACGGGTATTGTCTGTGCCAGGTACGACCCACAGCTGCCCCAGAGTCTATCCCCCTGTTGTGGCACTGTGGATCAAACAGACCTCACCACAGCCTTTCTCCATCAAACCCACCACCCACTTATCATAGCAAAACCATAAATCTTAAAATCATAAAGAAAAATTACAAGATGAAATAAATCATTAAAAGGCATAAAATCATGGAATTGTAAAACTGTAAATTATAAGATCAAGTAAGATACAACATTTTGAAAGAGTGGCAGCAGCGTGAAGCGTAAAAAGAAAGATGTGATGACGCTAAGCACAGCTGGAGCGTACCTGGGAGGTAGGGCTGGGAGCTGCTGGCTTTGTGGCTGGGGCTGCTGAAGGGCCGGGGGGAGCCGGGGTAACTGTCCTGAGACTTTGGGCTGCGACCTCCCAGACACCTCACCTCACTGTCCGTCCCGTTCACCATCTCTATGAACTGTCTCACCCTGGGGATGCACGTGAGGGAGGGAGGGCAGGATAAAGAAATGGAAGGGAAGATCATGAGAGGAAGAAGATAGTAAGAAAACAGAAGTCGAGAAAGAGAGAAAAGACAAGAGGATTGAACAGGAGAGAAGAAAGAAAAAGTGAGCAAATAAAATCCCTTTTCCATAAGAACAATTTCTCATTATCATCACTGCTAAATCTATCAGTTTCAATAAGTGCCACAGAAAGTAGACTGTTAGATTTTTGCACCATATGCAGCAGGATTTCCTTGAAACATGGTCTTTATTTTAGTATTTTTAATTACTAAGAGGCAAATCTTCAACCTTGTGATTTAGAGTGCTTTCACACCTGCCCCATTTGGTTCGGTTCAACTGAACTCAATTTCATTTGCCCTCTAAGTGCGGTTTGTTTGGGCAGGTGTGAACACAGCAATCACACTCGGGTGCACCAAAACAACCGGATACAAACACACTCTGGTGTGGTTTGTTTGTGGTGAGAACATGTTCCGACCTCGATCTGAACCAACTGCAGTCACATGACACATTGTTTGGGTTAAACATGAGCATGTTACAGTCTCAGAGGATTATTAATGTGCACCTCCTCCTGTACTGCCTTAATATGCACATTCAGCACATCCAATGCATCAAAACATTGTTTTCTAGTTGGAGCCGCGCCTTGTTTTCAAACTGTATGGTTTGACTAAAATGAACAATGACAGCAATATAGTCCACGATGACCAGCGCTAAAATCAACCTGCGTAGTTGTCCCTCCATTGTGACATTAGAAAGTGTCACATTTATCTTGCAAGTGTACTCTTCTTCAACGTTTTGTTTACTTCCTGGATTTTACCCACATGGAAATTCTGACCAATCAAGAGCAGCTTTCTCACACAACGCATTTTATCTGGTTTGCTTGTAAATGCTGCCATGAGAACACGAACCAACTCTAGGCAACTATGTATCTTTGTAACAAAATGAGTCTCTGATTCGGACCAAAGTAAGACAACTCTAGGTCTGAAAGCACCCTAAAATCAATCAATGGAACATAAAAAAAAAACCCATTCAAACTCAGCCTCAGTTAGTTACTTGAGCATGAAGAGAAGGTCTGGGTTCCTCTCCAGGAGGTTGGGGTAGAGCTGCTGGGTGGTCTCGATGGCCTCGCCCATTCTGCCTGACAACACCAGCTTCTGGATCTCTGCAAACCAAATGTGAGCATATTTACAAAAGATAATACTTACAGAGACTGTGCAAGAGGAATAAAGGAAGCTATGTCAAATTTCATACTAACTGTATATCATATGTAGTAAACACCCATTTTTACAGACATCACAGAGGGAGGGATAGACTTTATTTTTACTTAAATATTCTAAGCAGTAGATCCCCTTTTATGCTGTGACCACTTTTATCTTAGCAAACAGCAGACTTCCATATTGATATCAGTATCAGATTTAAAATACTGAGAACATTTCTGGGTCCCATTTTTACCTCATACGAGGATTATTTAGAAAAAGACCCACACAGAAAGACTCACTCTGTCGGTTTTTGATGGAGGCCAGCTCCTCGTGCACGGCCTGGTCTGTGGATTTGGCAAAGGCTTCAGCTGTGGCACAATAGCTGTGGTGCACCAGGTAGGAAGCCACCATCCTGACGAGACAAGAGAAAACGAAACACACTCAGTGATCAGATGCAGCAGCCGGAGAAATTACACAGACCATTACACTGAACAGGTAAGAGCTTCTCTTCATTGGGTCAGGACAGTTTATTCAGATTATCTAAACTGTTTTATCGAGAGATATGACCAAAAGTAAGCACACTTAAAATGTCAATAACAATCCACTCATTGTACAGGCAAAATGTGCACACAACTTGAACCAGGAAGTTGGTTTGTAAACTGTTTTACAATGGAGAGTTTGGGTAATAACTGTAACGTTTGCCTTTGGTTTCATGTTCGTGGCTAAACTGCTGGCTTGTTTCCAAACTCTTTGATGGTCTGACTGCTGTTAAGTGTTCCCAAAATCTAAGAAATTGGAACAATAATATTGTACTCAAAAGTACAAATGACGACCAAAACGACAAATAATAATAAACTGGAATTATTCTTAAAGCATGCATGTGCGCTAACTGACTGTTTAATGTGTGTGCAGGTGTGTTTGACTTCTGTGCAGGCAGATGAGAGGGAATGGGTACTAAGATGACCCACAATTCAACAGTGTTTTCAAGGATGAATTCTTCTTCTTGACTGCTTTTTATCTCCACAACTCTCATGACACTGCCAGCGGTGTTGGCAGGGAGATTTGTGACCAGAGGCCTCCGCTCCTCCCGGCTCGTCATCATGTTGCTGCTGCCCTACAAAGACAATAACACTTCCCATCCACCAATCTGATGCGAGCGTAGAAACTTCCTGTTTTCAATCCCACACAGCGAGGCGACTTTCCCGGATAAAAGGCAACGGCTCCCTCCACTCCACCCCACCCTCAACCCCAATCCCCATCAAATGGAGATTAAATCCATTCAGGACAAGTAATCATAGCAACAGAGAGCTAATCCCATCAGGGCATGGCATGAAGAGAAACCGAGTCCCACAGCTTTTACTTCTGGATCACGGCTCCTGCTCTCTGATGGGGAAGTGGTCCATCTGGGCCTCGATCCTCGTCATGTCAGCAGTAATTTCCTGTCACCTACAGTCCAATATTTCCTTTAGCTCATTATCAGATGACTTTTGAGAGTATTTAAAGTGACAACACTGGTGTTAATGACTGCATCAATTGCAAAGATATTTGTCGATGACACTCAGTTATGTGAGAGCACCATATTAAGTTACTACCAATGCAAACCGAACATTTCCTATTGCTACAGCGTCACATCAAAAGTATCTCATTGGCATCAACACGACAATGATCATTTTCTTCATTTGTTGATGATCTTTGTGATGTAACCAACTCCTTTCCCTCATTAACATTATTAGGATTCCCATTAGCATTGGGTTTGAATCCGATATATTGCCAAAGGGGCACTTTTGCTTTTTTCGTTTCTGCATCTTTTTGTTGGGTTGGGCTATATGACAACTATGTATGGATATATTTTCAAGCAAGTTATTGATTTAGACAACGCCATTTATATTGCTATAGGCCTAAGTTGCGTTAAATGACGTGGTTTTTCCAAAAAGCCGCGCCAGTGAGCATCTCTCCTCTCTCATACTCTCCGCACAGCTCCGCCCCACTCACTCACTCACAAGTTCTCCAGCAACACTCAGAGAGACACAGAGCTGCTCCTCTGTATGTATGAATGTTCTGCTACTCTAAATCAGTCTGTGAGATGAATGAAATGACCGCAGTAGCACACGCACAGTACGGCGCTGTGCTGCATGTGTGGGAGACAGAGCTGCTTAATTGTGTCAGGTGTGCATTTGTTAGCTAGTTTGTGTGTGAGGTGGATCATAGCACATCACTGTCTTTTTATTAGTTGTAGTTTATTCTAAGACATTGAGGCAGCGCCTGGATGTAGGCGACAGATGTATTTAAAAAATGTAGTGACAACACAGACGTTTCATATAAGACGTATTCTCCTGCTGATGTCAACACAGATTTGTTGTTCACAATGTAGCATTATCAGAGAAACAACAGGGAGCGTCCTCTGAAGCGTCAGTACTAAGTTTACTGCTTCCTTTCGTCCCAATGGTGTCCCAGGGAAGAACTCTGTTCCTCCAAACACGTTTTCTATTGCCCACAGGATGACAGGACACCATCAATGGTGAGTTTCCTGCATCCTTACATCATCACAGTGTCTAAGGGAAGATCTCTGTTGGTTGTGATTTCAACTGTCCCTAAGTCGACTAGACGTCATTGGTCTTACGCCCTACTTTCCAGTCTGCGTAAACCAATGCGACACAACGGAAAAACATAAGTCACTACCACTGGTGAATATTATCTTATTTGTCAACAGGCCGATGTCAGTCAACAAGGCGAATATCTGTGGATTCAGATGTGCGTTCAACAAATCAGTGCATCCCTAAAACTACATGCTAATCCTCAAATAGAAAAGAATGGCACCTGTAACCATGGCAACTGTACATGTCAAAGAAAGCGAAAAGCCTTACAATGCTTAGAAAACGTAAGTGTAAAAAAAGAAGAAAAAAAAAAACTATCGATTGATTCAAATTGAAATTTTTGTTAAAAAGGCTAATACTGAAACAACACCAGTTGCCAAAATTGCTTCCTCCACACCCCGTTATTCCACAGTGACCTTACTTCTGGATCATGGACTGCCACTCGCCCTCGCGCTCTCCGATAGGGAAGCGGTCGATCTGAGCCTGGATCTTTGTCCTCCACTCTCGCATGTAGTCCTCAATGTCGAACACAAAGGGATGCTGGCCGAAGTTTGCATCCACCACCTCCCCTGGAGTCTGAAGGCCCACGGTCGGGTACAAGTTTGGCTGCAGCGGAGATTAAAGAGTAGAGAATTAGGATGATAGAGGAAAGGGAGTTGGGAATGTTATCTGGACCACAAATCAAAACAGGGAACGGTAAAAGGGAGAACAGGAAAACAGAAACTATTAGGAAATAAGCTTTTGTCTACAGTTAGACCTTAAGGCTTGATTTCACAAGCTGGCAAAGATTCTACAATTAAACTGAGTGGCAGGCTGAAAGTCTGTCTTTTCACAGGAGAGCCAGGGTTCAAACTCCTGAGACATTACAGGGGCAGTGAGTCAGATCCCTTTGCCCATTATACATCTCTCAGGATGATCGATACACTGATTTGTTTGAAGTGATGCAGTGAATATATTGCCAGGTGCTGAAATTTCTGGTCTTCATCGTTTGAGTACTCAACCTCCAAATGTACTGTATTATGGAAGTCACTACAGCCTCCAGATACAGACCTCCAGTTTAGTTTAAAGGCCAATTTTCAACCAGCTTTCTTTCATCACAATGTGGGTAGTGCGTTAAACTGAACTTTAGTAAACTTCCCTCCACCTTACTGGTGTCCTGATCTCCTTGCTCACCTCAACACACCATATGGTTCGCTGGCTCTAGGGCTGTTGCAAGAACTACAGGTTGTACTTCAGCATTCAGACACAAAGAGAATAGAAGCAGATTAAGAGAGACCTGCCCCTCTCTTTCTCTATCAAACTGCGATTCAACTCAGATCAAACTGTACTGTGCTGACAAAATATGAACCAAAATTCTGTCACTGTATGGTCTATTTCTCACCTAAACTGTTTGCAGAAACATATTTTAGTGTACTCTTTGACTGTATTACGAGGCTTAATGAACAGGTGGGTGCCACACTGTCTCCTGTATTCTAAAAAACGGAGTTTGAAAAAACTAAGAAACAGTAAAGCTTAGTAGTGCTGATCACATCAAGCATTGGTTAATGCGTTGCCTTTTCCTCGCCTAAAATATTTTTTGGCTTTCTGTTAAACTGCAATACAAGCTGTGCTTTCCAATGCCCATACAACCATAATATACTGCGTGCCAAAAAATCATTTAGCATGTCCGAATACATAATATGTCAAAACGCAGTATGCCATGAATACCAGGATGTTCTACTACATTTAGTCTGATTTTGCAGTATGCAAACCAGCATGCTTTTCTGACTATTCTGACCCACAATCCTCTGCACAGTGGACGATACGTCACATTGACTGAGCTGCAAACAGATGTCAGCTAGACAGCTGTTTGACAGCTGATTGACAGCTGTCTGAAGTCGCAATGACGCAATGTACATTGAAGTAACTGATGACCAGTCGAACAGTAATAATAGAAATATTAATTGTTTAGTGAACTAAATAATCAAAATATACAAACAACAAAAGGACATAAGTATAAAAATAACAATGACAGAGAACTGCAGATGTAATTTCACTGTCGCAAATATATCAGAATCTACAACCTGTGCAGTTATAACTTTAAAGTTAAACTACACACAAGTGGCGTTTGTTTAATCTCCATGGTAACAGATGTAAAAGCAAAAGGGTCAAAGTTCAGGGCGTAATGTTATAAAGTGGTATGTCCCGATTGTGTGCATACTGCATGCAACAGTACGTACTTTTTCCTGGCTGCCGCAGTACCTACTAAAAGTAAAGAGAAAAAGTATGCGATTCGGAAAGCACCCAAGATTGTTTGTTAACAGCCAGCCATCATATTGTTCGCGGACGGTAAACCTGCATTACGTTTCCATCAGTGGGAGTGTTTATTGGTCTGGTGTGGTGCAGTATATTCTGGTTAATGTAGGTTTTCTACCGCTTGAGCAAAAGCAAATGCCACAGTCATTTTCCTCTGTTTTCTCTGGTCATACAACGCTAATTTCAAAATTATTCTCATCTTTCTACTGCACAGACGGCCAGGTTTTAAGAAAAGAACATCTTTCCAGCTGTCAAATACTAGAACGACTTTATCTTCTACTATAATAACTGATATACAGATGAGTAATCCCTATAAGCATTTAGCGGATGAAGGGTAGCTTTAGTCACTTAATACAGAGCATACAATGGTGTTGTCTATCTTGTTAGAAACAGTGCTCATACAGGAGGAAATAGTGCATTTGTTGAGGACAATTTTCACCTGTGAAATAAAACACATTTGACGATCTAGAGCGCTAAGCATTTTTGGCACCAGGACAGCATATGTAAACAAAACAATCAGAGTAAATATCTATTTATTTTTAGTCTAACATCATGTTGCTCTAACCAGTTGGTCAAGTCTGTATTATTTTCAGTGAACACAGAAGCTGTTCACTTATTGTTTGTCAATTAAATAAATATGCCAATTTAAGAGTTTTTCCTGTGACTAAACTTACAAATGCCATTTGCTAAGACAGCTCTGATGGACTTGTTAAGCAGGGAAAAAGCAGTAAATGTATCACAGCAGATCTATGTAAAACAATATGAAAAGTCATTGAGATGTGGGCAGCGATTCAAAGGTCTTGAACCAGGCTAGGCGTATGTAGGATTGAGTCAAAATAAACCACAGTGTGTGTGTGTGTGTGTGTGTTCATGGTAATGAAGGATTATGTCACCCACTGCAACAGTGTGGCTCATTGATGTTCTTAATAGTTTTTGGACAACAATGGAGCTCTATGGCCCAGAGGAAGAAGATAAGTACTGTTTTTAGGACTATAGGAACCGTCTGACAAAATCTAAAACAAAACTCAGCTAAGCAGCAGCCAGGCTTTTGGTAATAACACCACAACAGAACAAAGAGCTGGCACCACCAACTCCAAAACCTTCAAATCTGGGCAGTCGGACAACAAAGGGACTCTCTGCACCCAAACATCACCATGAACCCAAACTGATTTCTAGATGCTTTTCTGAAAATATTTAGCTCACTACATATTATTTTATCATTTCCTTTCACTTTACTGATAGGAATAGTACAAATATGTTCCGACACACCCAACAGGAAAACAGGGAGGTGACTTGTTTGAGGCTTTTCTGTGCTACAGTGCAAGTTATTGACATGTTGCATGTCAAGGCCAAAGGGTTAAGTACATGTCTATGTCTTGTTCCTGGGAACAGCTGTTCTGCTTTTGTTTAAGTCCATGATGACATCTGTGATGATGATGCACGAGGAGATAACCAGAAATATGAGGTGAGGAGGTCTGTAGGGGTTCATTGTTCTACCATCCTACCAATCTAATCATGGCCTTGATTTGATCAATCATCAGGTGGTGACTGACAACAGGCGTTCACCACAGTGACTGTGTGTGAGAGAAATTGTTGTTGGATTGGTACAAGTGTTCTGAAAGTATTACTAAAAGTATCAGTATGTAGATATAAAAAAAGTTCATTGTATGACACATTAGTGGAAGACTAAAGTTGGGAATCGTCTTAAAAATAAAAAAGTAGGACTAGTCTTGAAGTTAAAGTTGATGATATTTTATAATAAAGGAACTGGTTTAAATTAGAGTTAGGAATAGTTTAATGGTTAGGGAACAAATATAGTTGATAAAAGTCCACATAGGAACAGTGGTACAAAAGGTGTGTGTGTGTGTGTGTGTGTGTCTCTTAGAGTTGCCTCTGTCATGGTCCAATAATCACAAAGGTCAGCTGTGCCGAGGTGACGCACTTCACTGCACAACTCTGGAGGAACATGAATGTCTGGCTCAGGGCCAGGCCTGTTTTGCTGCTCAATGGATTATTGTTGTGGCTAAGACTCTTATTTTCTTCTCCCTCGAAAAACAGCCGGATCCATTTTCATTCGCTACCAAGCAAGAAGGGAGGAAAAAAACCTTAAAAACAAGTGTCTCCCTCACATCTCAATGCATTTAATACACGCATGAATCTCATTGGAATTAATGTCCTTTCAGTGTGGGAGTCGTTCACATACTGAAGCATGGGAGCTGAGACTCGCCTGACGATGAGCCACAACAGCACAAAGCAACACAAGTGATGTTCTGTTTGGACACAAACAGTATTTCAAAGTTTTCTTTGAGTAATATTTAAACTTCTAATAATTTATTCTTTGTCCACTTGGGGGCAGCAGAAACAAGCTATAAACACGACACTGACATATTATCGCCCTATAACACAATCAGGCAAACATGTTAGCAAGGAGTTGCCTGGTTACACATCCAGCAGACACAGACTAACGTATGCATTAGTAGACATGTGTCTGGCAACTTCATGAAGTCCAGTATTAGCCCCTTTTAGACTGCCTGTTCAAGGTGGGAATATTGTGCCGTTAAGCTGCTTTAATGTGCTTTATGATAAAGGTACGATAACGGAATAGGGGGATGGAGTTGTCTTGCCTTTAAGCCACCACGGGAGGTAGTACCAGCATCGAAACGGTGTCTGTATAAAGGGGACAGCTGGCAGGACGAGATCATGGGCAGGATGGGTATGATGTATGTTGGTACAATAATCACTAGGGAAAAATCTGACCCTGTAGCTGGACCAGTTGGGAACCACTGTTCTAGACCTTCAAAACTTCCCAGCTTATCAGAATTTCATGTTTTATTAACGTAACAAATTTATAACTTATAAAATGAATCTATAGCACTCCAAGAACTGTATATAAAAGAATATACTGTGTCTGGTCTGTGACAGTACCAACTTCAAAATAACCATCTCGTGCACAGTAATACCGGTATAATTTTTGATATGATACGAACAATTCATATTGCGACACTCATGATATTTTGACTTACTGTTACCCACGGCAACAACAGGCATGGCTGAAAGCGAAATTATTACTAACTCTGCGGTGGTTCCAGAAAGAGGAGCAACTTCAGTAGTGTGGAATAAACTGTGGCGTCCTGAATGTTTTATGAACAGCCCCGGACTTCTCAGACTCTTTTAGTGTCTTACTGCTCAGAGGGAACTCATTCAGTGGCTCCTCTGGCAGCAGCACAGCATCTCTCCCTCCCCTCTCTCGCCATGCGCACATGGGAGTCGGTGTCGTCAAGTGATTTTGTCATAAACCTTTGGTGATGTAAACCTTCGTGACGCTCGCGGCTCAACAAAAACTACATATATGTGAATGTGTGATAGTTGTGGTATCATAACAGCCTGTCACAGGTTACAGTGTGATGATTAGAGGAGAAATGGCAGAGCATAAAGGTCCAGGTGGGAAAAAAACAACTCCATCATTTAGGATTTTAATAAAAGAAGGAAATCACCTGTTGATTTATTTATATATATAGATCCCAGGGGACNATCCCAGGGGACATTTTGTTTAACTTGGGGGCTGTTTAAATGTGTAATTTGTGGTAGATTTTATTTTGTTGAACTATTAATATTGTATACAGAATCTGAACTCACTCTGAGTTACTGTTGTTGTTCACAAACTAAAGAAATCAGAGATCATTTTAGTTTAGTTTTTACTAAATATTTGAAGGCAAACTATTTTCTTAAATTAATAAGAAATATATTTCTTGCTTACTTGTCATATCGTCAAAAATATCATTATTGCTGAAATACCCTGAAATATCGTGATATTGTTTTTGGGCCATATCGCCCACCCCTACTCCAAAACCACACGTTTAATTTCCTACATATAAAAATGTTTGAGCTGAATTTAGTGACACCATAATTTGGATTAAAACACCTATTTAAAAATGAAAATAAAGATAACCTCTGATAAAACCTGCCTGTTTATGACTGGAGCCAAAGACACTGACACTACAACCTCTACAGAAGCGATATAAAAAAAAACACTTCAAGACATAGACTGTGCAACTATCTCTATTCCTGAAGTTCTTCATGAACAGTGTTTGACCAAATTTGTCACTGCAAGCTGAACTTTACTATAATAATACTTCACAATGTCAGAATGTGAAATGTGTCCAGGCCTTTTTCTCCCCCCACACATCCTACTTTTTCCTAAGTTTTCCAGAGTGCGATACATTTTACACAGCATAAATATTTCTACTTCAATAGACAATCTGCAGGAAATCAAACACTTCATTTCTATTAATAGCCTCATGTCCTACAGTCCTGATTAATGATGGAAACTAGAAGGATGAATTAACAACACAGGAGTGAACAAAATGTGGGTACTTACTGGTAGGTCTGTGAAGGCAATACCTGCAGAGGAAGAGAGACAATGTCAGAGTGAAGGAGAGGATGTCTTTCTATTTATACACACACACACACACACACACACACACACACACATCAGGAGGCCACAGTCAGTGTGTTAACACGTGCTGAGGTAATCTGGTTACTATCGTCTTTCTGCAGTAACCTGGTGTCTTAAATGTCATGTAAACGAGAGAGACATTATTTAACAGGAGAGCCCTGATGTCTTAATTACACAGGCAGAGTGTTGCAATAACAGCAGGTAGAATGTTAAAGGTAGACGTTGTACAGAGAACAAAAGAAAAGACGGCGAGACTACGCAGTGTGCCTTCGTATTCAAAGTAATCTAATGTCAGACTAAAACTGACAAGGTAATGGGTAACTTTGGTATTTTAACCTGGACTCTATTTTCCTATGTTTTTGTGTCTAAGTGACAAATAGGAACAAGAATGTTTGAAACTGGTCCAATGTTGAGTGAGATTGCTGCAGACAGTAGTGGCAGGTAGGCACATTAACGTACGTCCACTAAAAATGCTTGTTTTTGCAGCTGATGGGCTCCGACTGTTACTTCAAGTGTCTGACAAAATTATGGGAAGAACGCCTACAGAGATGGACCTATTTTCCTAAAAAAAACAGTATATAGACTCACAAAGTAATCCCTCTCAATCATCACCCATGACTCACTCTCAGTGTGTGTACCTGTGTATTTATCTGCAGAGACTCTGTACTCTGTCTGGAATTTCTTCTCATTTTCTGTGTTCTGGACATTTATGGGTGTGCAGCCCCACAGTGCTCAGGTGAGGTTGGGGCTTTATACCAATAAAATGTCACGTCCAGGTGCCAGACTGTAAATGGCAGGCATCCAAGAGACACAACACCAAAAAAAAAAAAAAAAAAAAAAGAAGTAAATATATCGAGGCAAAACGCAAAAACAAGAGTGAATCTGGGGTTGACTTTCACTTAAAGTTTCGCTGGCGAGCACGTTTACAAGCAACTGACAGTCCTGCATAGTATACCTTTAAAGAGCCTTTTGACCCAAAATCGCAATGACCAAACACACCAGATTCCATTTAAATAAACAGTTATTTCATCATGATAGAGCCAGCATATTCTTTCACATCTAACTGGCTGCATTGAGGATTAACGTAATCCAAATCTGAGTTGGTGATTGTTGGAACAGCAGAGGACAACTCAAGATGGCTTCTGTGCGTATTATTTTCTTTCCATAGACTTTGAATGAAGTGTGTTTTACAACGATAAAATTACTGTTTATCTAAATGGAGTCTGGTTGGTTTCATGGTAGCTATTTAGGGGTCAATTCTGGTTAAACGAGAAGGATCCACTTTTTAATAAAGCAGATGACCTCTGTAGGGATCTTTTCCATAATGCTGCCAGACAGAGTAACAACCTGAGCCTGTCAGTGACAAAAAGGAGCACTTTCAGTGGATGTAAATTGACAGCACTCAATTTTACGCGTTCTTGCTCAATACTAGACCATTTCAAAAACATGCCAAAAAAATGTCCAGGTTGAAAGATACCAAAGTTACACTTTGAGTCAAAATACATCTGTTTCAGCAGGCTATTTTAAAATGCACTTGAACAGTAAGTAAAAACCTGGGACATTCTCACTGAACTTCAGTTTGCGGTCAGCATTGTAGGCAGTGAGGAGGAGATGTGATGAGCGGCCAGCTCCATGTAAATATGGGTTAACTAGTAGCCAGGTGACTTCAGTGCACATACACAATTCTCTGATTTCCTGTTCTGCCTGTATTTCTCCCAATAACCTGATTTCTTGTTAATGAGAGTACCTGAATCCCTTTTTTGTCTGGAAGTTATGCTCTGCTGCCTTAAGTGGGGCACCTTTTGAGGCAGCCTGAAAAGCACAACATATTTAAACTCCAATGGAAATCACACTTAGCCGTCCCTTTTAGGACTCAAAAATAATGTCAACATGTTTAAAATGTATTGTAAATTATTTTATTATTAAGAAGGAAGACAACAAAAACATATTTGGATATATGTTGCAGGGAAGTGTAAGTGCCTGTGTTTAACTGACAGCTGAGTGTCGGCTGGGAGTGAAAGAAAAATTTAAGAAAACTTGCACTGTATCTCAGAGCCACAGGCAAACAGTGTTGTTAGCAGTGATGTTAAAGAATAAAGGACCACAGTAGCATCTAAGAAAACCAAAGTGACATTTGCAGATAGGTTTACTTTCTGTTTAATGTGCTGCAGCTAATTAGCCAACTAGCCTGCGAGCTGACATTAGCGGTACACTTCTCCCCAGTGAATGTTTGCTTGGTGGCTCGTCCAACAAGGTGCAGGACGAGGCGCCTGTTCATGTTTGTTATTCTTGTTAGATAAGAAAGACACTTTAGCGGGGAAGCTGATGTGGGTTGTTGTTCAAAGTCTTGTGCATCTGCTCTGCCTGTGATACAACACTGATGTTTCTGTTTTATGCAAATGTAATTAACTGTATGGAAGCAATTTCCTAATCTCAGTGTGTGCAGTACTAATGGTCTTCTGACAAATGAATGCACAAATAGCCATCATGAAAGTAGATACGCATGCTGTAGCAGGTAAATTAAATTAACCTTCAGTTTAAAAAAGTTATTTATATTCCATTACTTGTAGCAATAATCTCCAAATAACCTCCCCTTTTAATATTTTTTTTCAAGTTCTACTGTCATCTGATGCACATGTCACACATTCAGGTACACAGAGGTTTTTAGTACCAAGTAGTAGATACCAATACAGTTTTACTGTTTACTGACAATACTTCCCACAGGTTAAAGCACTGGTTCCCAATCTGGGGGTCCCGACCCTCACTAAGGGCGCATTCACACCAGGATACTCCAGCGGTCTTGGTACGATTGGGCGGGGAATGCCGAAAAATTTCACACCTTCATTTGGTTTGGTTCACTTTCACACTGCACTTTTTAAAGCGGACCAAACTGCCTGGACAAAATCACGCAGTTACAACAGCTGCTCGTTAGGGGGCGGTAGGGTCCGAAACGAGCACTGACCAAGAAGAAAAAAAGCACAAGGAAGAAGAAAACCCGGCTCATCGATTGGCCAGGACCGAAAACGGAAATCCATCCCCTTCATTTGGCTTGGTCACCACAAAAACACCAAACACCAAAATGCATTGCGCTACATGTCTCTTCCTCTCTTTGGTTCGCAGGATAGTCTGTTTGCCTTTCCAACTGTAAGCGGACTGCACCAGGGTTCACTTGCAAGTGAACCGAGACCCCCAGTTTTCAAGCGGACCAGGGTTCACTCATTTGGTCCGCACCAGAGTTCGAATGAGCGTTCACACCACTCCAAATGAACCGAACTATCCATGGAAGCTGACCAAATAGCGCCAGTGTGAATGGTCCTAAGGGTCGCCGAAGCTTTGTGAGGGGTTATGAGGCCTTTTCAATTTTAAGGGGTGTAAAAAAACCTTTTTTAAAATATACAATAGGCCTATATCTCTGCATATCATTCACTTTGGTGACGAAAACTAAATGAAATTGTTATTTTTGAAGTTAAGATTACTATTCAAGCAGATTATTTTTCACAGCCTAATCCTGGAGTTAAAGCGACCAAAGAGCTAACAGAACAATGGCCAAGCATTAGGAGGGAAGAAAACGCTGGATCTGTCACAGAGAAGTCCTAAGTATATATGATTGCTAAAAATAAAGCGTACATATTGATTTGCGTATTGACTGGGGACCATGTTTAACAACAGTAAACTGTATCAAGACATCCATTTACAAACTCTAAAACAACTCATTTTTGCTAAAATGTTACTATTTAAAACTGAACTGAAAGTGAAACTTGTCTAAGGCTCCATACAATACAATAAAAGCATTGTTCTGTAATCGTCTTTGGTGTCTGTGCTCCTTACCTAGGCTGTGGCCGTTCTTTGTGTAGAAGCAGGTGTTGTTGATGAGGTTAACGCAGCAGCCAATCACGTCGCCTGTTGTAAATGTGGGTCCGTAGGGTTGCCCAGTGCCAGACGAGCAGAAGGAGTGGCCGTCATCTCCGTGGTAACCGTATGAGTGCTTGTCCCAACCTGAGGGATGTGAGGTGTAAGAATGAGAGCGCTGTGCAGGCAGGGAAAAGGTGTAAAAACACAACAGATGGTTCAGTCTGAGACTACATTGAAAACTAAACCCAGGTTCAAGGTATGGGAACTGAACCCAGGACTTCAGTCTTCTTAATCACGGGGACAGCCTGCTGTTTTCACCGTGACTGCAGAAGGACATGGCTCATTCAGTTTTTCCTCAACGCTGGAGATGCTCTCATAATCAGGACATATTTTTTAGTATTGTAATGTGTTTCACTCCTCGGGGAGAGGGGAGAAAGAAGCAGCCTCTGCTGCAGCATGGATGGCCTCCGGGCTAGGTAGGACCCTGTGAGTTACTGCGGAGCTGCTAAGTTAATCCTGTAACTGCCACATTCATCACCGGAGGAGAGCAATCAACTCTGACCCGGTTTGGCATCAGTTCCTCACAATTAGTGAGTTTTCATTAACATGTCTTCATCAGCTGGGACTCTGCAGTTTGCTTGGGGCCTCCTGTTATCTTTACACGAAGGGACTGGAGCTTCTGGGCGGGTCCCGCTCTCAGACTGGCGAAGGGGTATCGGTGCTCCTGTTTGACCTGATAACCTCTGTGGAGTGCAGAGCTCACATCTACCAGCGCTGTTTTAAATGGTACTATGTCATGGCAAAGAGAACAAGCAGCCACAGCAGAAATCTTTTAAATACTGACAAGTGGTTGACAGCAGTTTTGAAACTGTGCCAGTGTTGTTAAATCTATGCACACTGTCCTTTTTTATGTGGTAGAGGATTGTCTTTGTGATCTTTTTTGCATTCTTGAGGTGACTTAGACCACATTTATTTAATTAAAGTGCTAAAATTCTGGAAGAAAATCTATGCCCTCATCAAAATAACTAAAACCTGACTGATTTTTGAGACCAAAACCTATATGATTTGCAGATTGAACAGGCGAGATATAACATGTTCATTAGTGAACTTGGGCGAATATTTTTACGTTCACACAGAGCAAGGCTAGTAGTTTTTTCCTGTTTCCAGTCTTTATGCTAAGCCAAGTTAGCCAGCTGCTGGCTGTAGCTTCATCTGTAAACACCCAGACACACCAAACCGACATCAAAGAATTAGTGGGGACAAAGGCCAATGGATGTGTCGCCTCACATCTCCGGTGTCTGCGCCCAAAAGTTGCATTTGAAGACACTGCAAAGACTACAGCCAACAGCAGGCTAGCATGTACGTTCTGCACCTGCAAGAGAAGAAATAACTCTCCACAGAAGCAGGTGGTGGTAGTCCGCGTTCGTCATTAAAAAAGGGAAACTGGACAACCCACAGAACGGATAGCACATTAACAGCACAACTTGATGTTGAACGAACAAATGATACGTGCTGTGCACTATCGAACAATGACACTAACAATTACGAACACTTTCTGCTAAAGGGTTCAATCAATTAGTAATTGTTATATTGGGTAATAACCTTACCTTATCTTATTTTTGGGTTGTGAACTAAAGAAGACATTTGAGGACGTCATCTTGAGCTTTTGGAAACACTGACTGACATTTTTTTGTAACCATTACGTCGAATTTTCTCTACCTTCCACACTCTCAACCACATCCCAATTTGTTGATTAGACATTTGTATCCACCATGTACTTTGAGAACAGCAGAAAAATGTGAGCTGCTTTACTCTTATCAAGCTTAAAGATATCCCTTCTATATACAAAATAGTTGGTCTGCCATCTCAGTTTTATGCATTGTGCACAATTCCCAGTTGAGTTGCAGAAGGCTGTCAAATTTTAACTTGGGTGAATGTATCAGGAAAATTCTGTTGAATACAGCCATTGACCTGCATTGGAAATTTACACTGTATATCAAAATGCATGAATCCATAGAGAGAATTTATCTACATGCATGGGGTAGGTGAGGATCACCTTCACTGAATGGAACCACCACATTCATGTCCCTGACCTCTCCAGGCATCTCACATGTATGAAGAAATTTTTTCAGCGTCTCAGACAATAAGAAAATGTGCATATGCAATTAGATAAGTGACACATAATAACTCAATGAAATGAGTAGTCTCTCACTCACAGTCACACCTACACCCAGTATATCAAAGGCCAATCTCTGCCAGACAATAAGTTCACAGATGAGATGACACCCACACAAATACAGTTAAAAAGATCTCTGGTATAATACACCAGAGAAACAGACTGTGACACGCTAACAGACAAATTCATCTCACCACACCCAAAGGCAGAAGAATGAACACTGAAAGAAAACAGACAATGCGTCATCTTACCAGGGAGTCTGTTCATGTTTACACCCTGAGCTGAGAGGCCGATGCCCATGTACCTGTGGGACAGACGGTTGAGAGTTTATTTTGGTGTGTAAAAACAAAACACACCAATCATGCTTTTCTGATAAACTCCTTAACATCTTCTGTAATTGCCTACAGCGACACTAACAGCCTGTGAGGATGTAATACTCAGTTCACATCCAAAGAAAAACAAATGTTGAATGGCTGAAAACAGGAAGAACTTTCCCACGATACTATTGTATCGTGATTTAAGTATCATGATATCATATCTGGGATCGTCTGGTGATTCCCAAAGTTAGCATGTGTTAGCTTTGTTTATGAACGTAGTGGCCCAGAAGGACAGATGCATGTTGTCACAAGGGGTGGAAGAAAAAAAAAAAATCGACAATTGGCAATACTGCATTGATACATGGATGCCAGGTACAATTTTTTATTAGGGATTTTTTGCTGATATCCAGCATGCCGATGTATAACAACTAATCTGACCGATAACCAGTACCGATATCAATATATACGTTTTTTCCCCACCTACTTTTAAGTTAGGGGTGGGGGGAAAAAATCAATTTTTAGATGCAATGAGATTCTATCTTGAACAATGCGAGCATCAATGTGGAAAACTCATAAATCGATTTTAATTTTATTTTTATATTTATTTTTCAAATTAACGTAACTCCTAAACCATTCATGCTATCAACGTAATTCCAGCTGAGAAGTGGAGCTTTCTAGTGGTATACGGTACTGACATCATTACCTGTGGAGGAGGGGAAGGAAGTGACAGCTGGCGAGGAGAGAGCAAGTTGGGAGTGATTTAGCGGTGTTTTAGCGGAGTTTTGGTGAGTTTGGGTGGCGTTTTCTTTGTAAATAATATTTAGTGTTGTAAATAACAGTATTTGTGGTTTTTTGAGAGCTTTCGAGTTTTTTTATATTGTGTTTTTTGCCGTGTTTTCGTCGTGTTTTTACCATAGTTCGTAGTTTTGCCATTGTTCGTCTTTTTTGCAATAGTTTGTTTTTTTGTAGTTCATAGATAGTTATAGTCAGTTTTAGTTTTGTAAATACTAAAGGAAAAATGTCGAGGAGGTTGACAAGGGACAGGAGAGTCCCGTTGAGATTTGTGGGTGAGGAGACTGGTGGAGTGTAGTCATCTCAACCACAGTAAGTAATACAGTTTGCATGCACTGGATATGTATTCCCAGCTTTATTACAATAATGTTTTTCAATATCTAGTGTAAATTTTCTTATTGGCTCGTTTTAGAATTGAGGATTGTTTTATAATTGAAATCATTGCCCTTGGAATTGGAATTGAATCGAATCGTGAGGTGCCAAGAGATTCCCACCCCTATTTTAAGTGCTCATCAAGTCTCTTATGTAGTGGAATTAACATCATATTATGCATTCATACTCTTATCATGATGGCCCACCAGCAGATGGGGACATGAAATACTACACTTAGTAATACAGTATGTAATATTCATTCATTGTGCAAAATAAAAAAGCATGTTGGCCCATTCTGAAAAATCCGCCAATATCTGCTGATACCAATGATGTGCCGATATTATCGTGCATCCCTATTTTTTATTATAGAAATTATTAATATTGCAAATACAAATTAAACAATGGCTTTTTCAGTTCACTACTTAATTGTCCTGCCATACAAATGATTGAAGCAAGATAAATCAAGATTCAAATAGGAGTGCTCCATGTGACTAAATATGAACACAAATAAGATAATAAATAAAAATATTATAAAATATAAGGATTTGCTTGCATTATAGGTCCTGTCTACAGGTATACACATATTTTTTGAAAACTGATATTTTCCTTTAGAATTCGGCCTCTCATTCACATGCAAATGGAGTTTTTGTTCGATAAACACACATTTTTGAAAAAGCATTTTACGCTACAGATTTTTCAAAACTCTGGTTCCTTTGTATCCGTGTCAGAGTCCTGCATGAGTCTGATTTTCAAGACTCACTCCCAAACCGTGCAATACCGCAGCCATCCTGCCACACGCATATATGCCCAATTATTTCCGCAACCTGACCTGACCTGCGGACACAAGATCCATGACCTGACCCCAAACCACAAATCCTATAATAACCATGCCCTTTTCAAATAATTCTCTTAGGCACAGTGGTGTAGTGGAGGATTTACGCAGGCATATGGTCTATAACCACCTCCTTTCTTGTCATTTACAGTATAACCACCTATTGTTCAAAAAGTCATGGTAATATATAGGAGAGTATACCCACTTCCTCCTCTGTAACGTACACATCTACCTACTAGCACACAAACCTGAAATACCACTACGCCACTGGTTAGACAGCATATTAAAGTGATCATTTTTGGACATCTCATACATGTGAAACTAAGATAATATATTGCACAACAAAGGTGATTCAGGAAATACAATTTAAATGAATATTTGTTGCTTATTCTCACCACACTGACCCGCACATCTTCACAGTTAACGTGCCTGTTAGTAATGAACCTGATTGAAGAGGCTCTCATCATTGAGCTGACGCAGGAAACAGAGCCAACAAACCTAGTCAGCAGTCAGAGGATTCAAACGTTAAAACATTTAATCAAATTATTAATCTTCCCATTTTATTTTAATCTTCCAACACCTGCGATCTGACACACACATTCTTTTTTTTTTTTTTTTTTTTTTAACTGAGAACGTAACATGGAAACAAAATTAAGAGAAAATACCACCAGCAAATCACCTATTTAGCAGGTCACTAGCCAGGTGTCCACGCAGATGTAACCCCATGTAGGACTCTGATCAGTGTGAACATGTGAAACCGAGCATCTGGGAAACGATGACATCACCGTAATGTACACATGCCCATTGTTGCTTTGTACAAAACAACAACGATAGTGGACTAGCAGAAGCACTGCTCTGTCTCATGACTACTTCACATCTTAACTCTGTATTGCTGCACCTTTGTACGGATGAACGGAGGCGTCTGCTGCGCCCAATATTATTTGGTCCACCTCAGTGTGTGCGGTTTTAAGTCCACCAGAAACAAAGGTTTTGGATCATTCCTCTCTGGTATTTGACATCTTGCTCATTTTTGCATTCTAGTGTGGACAGACATTTTAGTAAAAGGAAGGTCATGTGGACAGTTTTTCTTTATTGTAGAGAAAAATATATCAGTTTTCAAAAATATCTGCTTGCATGTAGACACGGCCTTAGAATAAATACCGACAACAACTTGACAGCATGCCCACAGACATTTTATAATAATCTCAGGTATGAAGAGAAAGAGAACAGGATTGTAATTTCTGTGGGCTATCATCTTTTCTTTAGATGACTACTAATGTGATGTAAGATTAAAGAATCAGGGCTTCATGCAGGAGACAAACTGTGAACTGCCTCCACCCAATTAATCAATTAAGACCAAATTCATAACAACTTTTACACTACAATATGTCTGATGGAGGTTTATTTCTTCAATAACAAGCAGCTACAATGAGATTTTGCATGTAAATCCACATTAGACTCAGATTGTTTGGGCTTTCATTGCAGCTCTTCCTCTTGTATACTGTCCTGCATATCATGCAGTCCATTAATTATGATAGCTCAGATTGTCAGCCATTTATAGGTTTAACAATATTTAGAGTCAATAATGTCACTAATGGCCCCATGGGGCTCAACACCAGGAGAAAAAAATATTAAATTGTCCCTGCATTTTTTATTCATCCACTTTCATTTTCCAGTTAAACATTACAACCTCATAAGGCTATTAGCGTGGCTGCAGATGTGGCTCGATGTTCATTGGTTTACACCTCAGTTGTGCTACCGGCTGAGTGCTAAAATTAGCATGCAAAAATGTTAACATCTATCATTTCAGCTTAAGCACGCTAGCAGGTAAGCATGCCAATATTGCCTACAGTGTGTATGTTATTGTGCTACCAGTTTGCATGTAACATCTTAGGTTCAAGTTGAGTTGTTATTTGAAACATAAAACATGACTGAATGAAGTATTCTTTATCTCAGATCGAAAGCGTAAGTACCAATAAAATAATTAAAAAAAGAACACATCAATATAAAAACAGAAATGACGTGTACTGTTAACTTACGTTACAGCTTCCGTGCTAACTGTTGCAGAATATTCAATTCATGACAAGTTTACATAAACATTTAGTATGTTAAGATGCTAACATCTAGCATGCTAACACTAAGTACTGGCAGGAATTCAGTTATGAAATTAAGTGTTAGACATGTTCAGTTATGCCCTGCTGGTGGGAGTTATGAAGACAGCGGTGTAACGAAGCCATTGGGAATCATCCAGATTTCATAACAATTTAGTAGTTGTCAGGATGTTTAACTTTGACAAACACTGACATCTCTCAAGCCAAGTTGCTAACATGGCAAAAACTGTTGAAATGTTTAGCTTTGTTCTGTGTCCTTACCCATCTCGGCCTTTGCTGATGATCTTCACCTCGAAGTAGTAGACCCCGCAGGCTGCTGGGATGGGGTGGGTTGCCCGTACAGACGCTGCATCTTTTGGGGTTTTGCCATGACCTTCAGGTGAGGGTAAAACACAGACACAAGAGCAACACGATGTGGTCATGACAAATGGATACTGGATCATTCTATAATTTTAAAGGGATAGGAATGAGTAGGAAGAAGACAGAAGCTTTCTGCTGCGACTTAAGCTGATGATCACCAATTTTAATTGTGTCTTTAATCATACATTTTGATCTGCTTTAATTCAAAGCACAGGGCAGGACTGTATGTAGATTTTTAGTATGAGTGGCTGTGGAGAGGATTAAACCCGCCCACCCCTGTCAATAGCTGTCAGCCCCATCAAACAAAGGGGCGTACATTTCCAGCAGTTTTCAAAGTGAGCCAAGTTTTCTTGAAAAAGGTTCCTTGTGTTTGCCACTTGTCCTCACGTGTTTTTGAAGCCAAAAGGGAATGTCAACCATACCCGCCAGTTATTTCCCCTCACTGAAAGAGTACTACTCTGAACAGATGAAGTCAAATTGGATCAGAAGCGACGTGGAGCTTCTGCAGAAACTCTTTACCAAAAACATTTTACAACCTAAGCTGCAGTGTAAACAGAAAACATCTTGAAGGCAAATAAGTGTTTGTCCCAATTTTTTCAGGTAAATTTATATTAGTGTTTTTTTTGTGTTTAATAACTGCATACACTGATTTTTTACAGTGGTTTTGACACATTTCCACATGAGACAGGGTTTGGCAGCAGAACATAAATTATATATTTATTATTTTAAATACATCTTCAGTTTTTATATGGGGGGTAAAAGTAGGCCTTGTGATCCCAGAACATATGATGCCATTTTACTAGATGACATTCTTATGAATACCCTTGAGCACACAATGTGTCTTGGGCTGTGAAGCAGCTCATCCTGTCAGTCTGTAAAAGCTAACGTTAGCTCAGGCAGCTACAGTGTAGAGCTGTCAACAGCATCAGGGGTCAGATATCAGAAATGTTCACAGTGTAAGACGTTACTAAGCAGCTATTTTCTGTTACTACAATAAGGTGTCATGATTTTACTTGGAACTATTTGGTAATGTCAAGTGTAAAACAAATGTACTGTCATACTACATCTGAGCTAAATCGGACAGTTTTTCTGTAGAAAACAAGCTTGTTTACTGTTTGGTGTACTTGGAGTTTAAGAAACTGGTTTGGGAAGAAACAAAAGCCTGGGAGGACCCCAACAACAAGCAACCTCATCATTTTATCTGATTGTTTTCATGTTGGAACTAGATAAGTTTGTGATTATGCTTGATACAAACATCTTGTTAAATACAATGCAGACACATAAAGGCCTGGAGTTTAATTAACCTACAAATATGATCAAAATCAAAATCTCACTTGGAATATTGGTCCAAAAATAAAACAACACATAACCACCACAATCAGGTATTTTCCTCGAATTGCACAACCCTAGGAGAAGGCATTTCTTATTTCATGAGATGTTTGACAGCTAGTTCATCAGTCTTGTTAGGTCTTGAAAATGTCACCAAGTGTCTGTTCCAAGCAGCAGGTTTAATTACTGATCTGGATGATATTGCTTAGGAATACCTTGGACCCTTTGAAACTTGGAAAACAAACCAATCGGGAAAACTAAACTAAAATATTTCACCCTCCCTTTTACATTTGTTTTACTGACAAAATGGTTGCCACATGAATACACCATTCAGGTGAGAAAAACCAAAGAAATACAAACCCCCCCCCCCCCCAAAATGTAAGAAAATAGAGGAAAATGCTCATTGTCATTTCCCGAAACACAACCTGACAAATTCAAATGTCTAGTTTTGCCCGACAAACACTCCTAAACCCAAAGTTATTAACTTTATTATTACAGAATACTTAGAAGCTAGCAAATGTTTGCCTTTACGTAGCTGGAACTAGGGATGCACCAGTTAATTGGCTGAACGTCTGTATCCACTGATATTCACCTTGTTGACTGCCATTGGCCTATCGGCAAATAAGGTAATATTTGTATTTGTTTCATATTTGTAATGTTGTGTCATGTCAATTTTGTGCAGGCTAAAAAGCAAGGCTCGAGACTAATGGCGCCCTGTCTTCCCAGGGACAATAAAATAGTGTTTGGGATGAGCAGAGATCTACCCTGGGATGTCGTCAGGACGAAAGAACTCAGGAAACTCCCTGATAATGTGACGTTGTAATCAACACATTTGTGTTTTTATCAATGTTTTTACAGCATTATAAACAGATATTAATTATTATTATTATTATATATATTATTATTTAAAAAAATCTCATGAAGCAGTTCTTTTAAGAAAACATTTTCATGTGAATTAAAGTTAAGTTTGTTCCATGAATACGTATGATTGAATTTGTGCTTGTACAATAACTTCAGTTATTGTTTTTTAAATGAAGATTTCTTTGTTTCCATGGCACAAAAGGGGGAATAAATAACAAAAACAACAACAACAAAATATTGGTATTGTGAATCGTTTATCAGCCAAATTGTTATTTTAAACATTGATATCAGCCCACAATTTCACAATCCCTAGCTGGAACCAGTGAATTTTAGGCCTTTGACACTAAACACTGAGTTAATCCATTACCAAACAGTTTCTGGTTAATGAGCCAACCATTTCAGCTTTAGTCCATATGATTGCAGAGTCAAATCTTTTAGCAGACCTTTGTATTTAAAATCAGTGACATTTAGTTTTTGTCAAAAAACTAATTGAAGATCCTGTTGGTGGGTTTTAGACAACAAGGTGTTTACTGACTGTTAATAATAGAAAAGAGTAGGCCAAGACTATCTTGCTCAAAATTACATTTTCTGTATTATTTGTTAATGATTCTGACTCTATCCTATGAATGCCAAAAAAGACTAGGATATTTGACATAGCAAAAGCTAGTTTAAACTTTACTTCCCAGTTAACTTGCAAATATTCAGCTTGTGTGTTCAAACAGTTGGCCTGTTCTAAGAGCAGATCTTCTTTTGCTCCCTGGGGGTGATTCATGTAAAAGTTTGCATTGTTTGAATGCTTAAGTTACCCGACAACTGCATACCTGCTATAAGATATCCAGGTGAATGTGTTGTATAGAGACAGACACATCACTCTAGCTGTAACAAGGAAGAGTGTGCGTAGAGACCCGGTCAGACCCAGAATAGTTGAACACACCCAGGAAGCACAGTTACACCTATTTTTTTTACTCTAGCCTTTTCTTGTAGGCCGGCACCAAAACCCCTTTTGATAGCTTTGCTAAGCAACTAGTCAACCTGAATGTCACTTGATAGACACTTGATATCAAACCCTCAGCAGCAAAGGACTACATATGCCTGTCATGTCATCAGTTTCACTGAAAGCCTTTAAATTCATCTGAGGAACTTGGGCTAATCATGATATTCGACACTGTGTATTTCCTGTCATTTAATTACCTAATAATGCTACATTAGCACACCGTAAGGGCTGCCTAGCTCAAGTCCATTTTGGCTAACGTTAAAACGGTAACGTTACGATTATGTGACTCACATCGAGCCTAACCAGCCTGAGATGTACTGTCTTTATAGCTGATACTACGTCTATAACTATTAGTTATATATCCAAAGATAGCCTGACAGATTGCCCTCCGTGAGAGCTTCATGGTGACAGTTCATATTGCTGACAAACTGGTTAACAGGGTAGCAGGGACGCTAACGAGCTAGTAGGTCAATTTTGGCTGTGGATACACCTCGCCAGCTGGTCGGGTTGCAAGATGTCCTCTGCCTTGTTGTTGATGAAGCCACTAGCCTAGCCTACTTTGTTTTTAGCCACAACGGCAACTGGCTTTGATCCGCTAACCGTCAAGCTAAGCTAACGTTAGCAGACCTGACGTTAGCACTGGGCAATAAAGTGCTAAACTTGAGTGTGACTTTGTGTCATACCTTTATAGTGGACACGGAGATTGTTCTGAGAGAGTCCGATGTAGCTAAACTTGTCCTTCGGGCTCCAGGAGCGGGGAAGCGGAGTCTCATTTTCATTAACGGCTGGATAGAGCCGTCGGAGTCGCTGGTTGAGCTCCTTTTCCTGCTCGTTCAGAGCCGAGTCTCCATGGACAACAACCGACATTAGAAACCCACAGCCCGACGACTGTCCAGACATGGCTACGACACGAGTTTTAGTAAATTGGCTTGTAAGCAACAAGCCAGAGCCACTTGTGTCAGTCAGTGTCAAGTTTTAAAGGGAGGTTTAGCAAAGCTAGCTAGCAGGCTAAGCTAACTGGCTTCGCTGGTCGTAGAGAGGCAGCCAGAGCTGGTTAGTCGAGTAGCTAACCTGGCTGGCGCGTTTAGCTTGGCCAGCAAAGGCGAAGCGATCGCTGAAATGGCTCAGGCTGACATTAGCTGACACAAAGCCACAAATAGAGACACTAGAAGCAGACTGCCTGCCGCGCAGGAACCGAAGAAAGTAGTTAAAAGACAGAGGAGCAGGTCGTCGTTGGGAGCAAAGTAAGAAGTAACGTTAGCGTTAACGGATCGACAAAGTATAATGAGCTCAGCTAGCCTCGATCTTTTGTTTGTTGTCGGAGCGTTATCCGCAAATCTGATTGGCTGAGAGCTGCTCCACTCACTTCCTTTGGGAATGTGAATAAATACACAGAATGGACAGTGAATGTACAGCAGATACACAGTGATGTGTTAAAGCTGGACAAAAACTATCTATAGTAGTTTAGTTACAGGGAGTCACCATCGTCATGGTTATTATTGTGTATTTATCACCTATACTGAAGTATTATTACTAATATTATCAGGCCATTATTTAAGTTTCCTTGAATCATTTATGCTACTTCTTAACTCTTTCATTTCATTTCATTTATTTGACCCATATCACATGGTATGGAGCACAAACATTATGTACAGTCTGCATTACTTAACCTCCTGAGACCTGAACATTTGTTTGGTATGCATTTTTAATTTCTCCTAGCTATTTGGGATCAGTGGGACCTGATGACTACAAAAAACTAAAATTCTCAACGATATTTAAGTCCTCAAAAGAGACACCAATAAAATCTTAATGTCTTCAAACCAGTACTTCCAAATGAACAACACCTTAGGTTGTTGCTGTTGCTAAAATTGGTCAAATTTGTTGCCATATTGAATATTATTAACTGCAAATAAACAAGTTTCAACCATAAAATGTGATCAGGTTTTGTCTACTTGTGTTTCAGGATCAACTGCAGACTGACTTGGCAGAGATGGCTGCCATCTTGTTTTTACATGGATTAGTGTATTGTGCTCTTACTACCACTAGATGGCACAAAAAGTGTCCACGAACGAGGACAACAGGTCTTAATTCAGTAGAATGAAGTATAAGGTCAAGAAGCCTAAACTCAAAATGTGATGAGGAGGGACATTCTTAAAAAAACACCTAGTTTACAAATACTGTAAAACTTCAGTTGAAAGCCTAGACCCAATTAAACTCAGTCCTAGTCCCTTTTACTAGCCCAGTGTAGCTACACATTTTGACAAATAAACACCTGTCTCAATTAGACACCTCTTCTGGTTGCCAAGCAGTTTATACTTTGTAGAAGTTCTTCAGATGTATAAAACTGGGTTGTTGGCTACCTCAATTTATGTTTTCATTCCTCGATTTCCCTGTAAGTTATTCATATTCCTTCAGTCTGTAAGGGTCCTCAGATCAAAAGAATCAAAAGTGTTTGTCATAAAAATGAATTCTAGTTGTGAGTATTGTTTTAACAGGATCACGTGGTGCTGTGTCAGTATGACAAGTGCTGTAACCCTCAAATTCCATAACTCACCCCCTCCCCCCGTTGATGCGCCGTCTGTCGGAGCTAGATCAAATAAATTATTAATAACTGATATATTTATTATCTGAAGCCTACTTTTTTTAAAGTAATATTCATACTGGTTTAAATAAACAATTTAATTGTACTTTCCCATGTTTACTGAGCAACAGTTTTGTGTGAAAGGAATTAAAGGCCTATCCCAGATATAGGCCTGTTGATTTCAGTGATTTAAGCAAATAATAGCCTGGGTTACTAATTGAAGTTTCACAGTAACATTTGGCTTATCTGATCGTAATGACAAAATCAGGTTGCAGTCTGCTTCTCTAAACTGGGGGCGTGCCGACTGACATGTACTGAAGGTGATACACTGATATTGATAAGTACTCCATAAAACCCCATTCCAAAAAATCCGAACTACCCCTTTAAATGACCCCAAACTAATTAACACACTGACCTTAGTGTCTTTAGGACCCCTGAGGGTCTATGGCCTCGGGACAGTTGCTTGGTTGATTATCTATCCAGTAGCTGCCGAGAGGATAACACCCCAGCAAAACTTACTAGCGACAAATATCTAGAACACTACAGCATCATTCAACAAATGGTTGGCAGTAGCATATTATTTATAATTGCCAGTGTATGAACTAAAAATAAAAACAGTCCTGTAAGCCATCTCGTCTTGTCATGTTTTTGTTTCTTACAGCTCTGATCAGAGTTAGACTACAGACTGAAGAGAGTTTTTTTTTTTCGAGTTGGCTTGCACCGCCTGTGAAAGTCCCTCACACCAACATGTGGGAATGTTCATTGCATCACTAAGAAGGAATCTGAAATGATGTTACGGTCCCTGTAGGGAAGCACTTGTTCAGATTCAGATTCAGACTCCCCTGGAAAACACAAACGGTAGAAGGCCAGGACTGTTTATCATCAGCAAGACGTATGTTGTAGAAGCAGAGCGGGGACAAAGTGTTCTGGGAAAAGATCCTCACTGTTTGTTTTATACTCTACTTGGACAACTGGCCGGGTAGAGTTTAACAGCATCATTACAGTGATGGAAGAAATACTTTAAACCATGTAGATAACCTAATATCACTGCAGTACAAGTGGAATTCAAAACCAGTAGCAGGAAGTACATTTACTCTGGAATATTTGTATTTCATGTTACACTTATTTTACATTTTACTGCACTGCATTTATTTAGCAGCTACTGTTTTGTTTTTTAGTTCAAGATTTTAGATTTAAAAAAAACAAAATAAAACACATAATGAGCACAAGTGGCAACCCCAACTGCAGTTCCTCTAATGGCCACTTGAGGGTGGCTCCAAAAGCGAATCAGTCCCCAAAGACCTCCATGTTAAAATGCCCAACTTTACAGCAGAAATAAACATGTTAAACAGTGTTGGTCTCTGTCGTTAATTTCAACATTTATGACAACTGTACAGGGCTGAATTTTTTTATAACTCACCTGTTTACATTTTATCAAGGTCCAGAGATACTTAAGGCAGTGCTGCTTGAGCGCCAAGCTGTCTGCGAGGCATCGCCACGTGAATCAGGTCGTCCATGAATCAGGTACACCCGTTGCACCTCCATAGCTCCAGCCTCTGGTTACTTCTGGCTTCAAAAAAATACAAGATGGCAACGGCCTAAAATTGGTGGCATTATGGTAGCTACGGAGCCCAATGTCTTTTTAACATCATAGGCCCTGTTTACACCCGATATTAACGTACGCTTTGGGTGATCCGAAGAAGGAAGGAATGCAGATTTTTTGGTTATACTCCATGCACAATTAAGAGCACAATATGAGTTGAAATGATGGTGTCTTTAAAGGCACCCTGTGGAGTTTCTGACCACCAGTAGTGCAATGGAACGATGTTTTCAGGTAGCGTCCCTGTTTTGTTTAAATGCATGATACAGGCACAAACAGTTATTGGTAACATGCAAAGAAACTTAGCAATGCACCAGCAAGGGCCTGAAAGGGGAGACTGCTAGCTAGTAAACATTACACTTTTCAAAAATAATCTGCTTTGCATATATTTTAAGAGAAAAGAGACGCAGTCAACATGTTTTTTAGACCTCAAAGATGCACAAAATGTGCTTTGGTGAGAAACAAGAAAACTCCATGTAGCATCTTCAAGATAAACCTGCATCATTATGTAACTGTGAGGCACAATGTCTGGCTTTAAAGCTTTTATTATTTATCTTGTACTTACATGGTGCACATTTCTTACATAAATGTGTGCTTAATTGAGTTACTACAGAGTAATTATCAATCACCAAATAATACACACAATGCACAGAGTGTTAGGGGGTGGGCGGTTGCTAGGGGTCCACAGCTCATTCTTGCCCTGTGCTCCACAGAGGCTTTTTTCTGGCCCTGACTTTTGCAGTTCAGACACCCTGACGTGAGTTGTAATAACAGCATGGCGGTTTAATTTGACTTCCAAATTATTTGTGTAAACACCCCTGCAGCCTCTGTATCATCATTTGGCTCAACAATCTGCGAGTTTGATTCGAAGCAGAGACGATTCCACCAGGTCTGGAATTCTGGAGTGTCACTGAAATTATTTTTCCATAATGGAGTTTCTGTTTTCTTTGACAGAGACATAAACAGGGAAGGAGACAATCTGGTGAAGCAGTGCAGGGTCATCAGTCCTTCTGTGTCATTAGAGAGGAGGGGAGAGCTGTCACAGCACCCTCTGGTGGTTCAGGTTTGACCCGACATCACCACAGAGAAACTGAAATGAGGAATAATGCAATAGACTGCAGTGTAGACTGAACTGAGCATGGCCTCCTCCTCCAGGTTATAAGTTCTGAAAGCAATTTCAGATTTCTTTAAATTATTAGAAACATTTGAACTGCCAGACTTTTAACCAGAGCCAGCAGAACTGGACATACAACTGCCTCAGTCGCCTTACATTGACAATGTGTTTTAGAATTTATTGGTTGGTGACACCAGTTTTAGCGGGAACTACCACAGAATCTGGTTTGAGTATTTTTCCAGGAGTTTATAGCTGCGATTACCATAGATTACTATACTTTTCTTTTTACTTCTAGGTCATATTGCAGCTTCTCTTACACAGTATGTACTGCTGCATGGAGTGTGCACACAACTGGGATATACTACTTCATCATAACTTTGTGCCTTGAACTCTGACCCTTTTGCTCACCCTGGAGATTAAATTAAAAAAACACCATTAGCCAAGCTTGCCAGAGACAGATGTCAACCCAGAGAGCTCTGCTGCTGTTACTTTTCAATGTGAGTTTTAAGTTTTAAATAATAGCTGCATACATTGTAGACTGTATTATAATCATGACAGTAAAATAACATAGGCAGTTCTCTGTCACTGCTATTTCAAAGTTATGTCCTTTTGTTGTTGGACGATTTTATTCACTTAAACAGTTCATATTTTTAATTATTACTATTCAAGTAGTCATCAGTCACTTGGATGAGCTGTCATCAATTATTGCTGATCCTGACAGCTGTCAAAATGAGCTGTCAGTGAGCTGTCATCTGTGTGTGGCTCAGTCGATGTGACGTATCTTCTGCTGTGCAGAGGATTATGGGTCAGAGTAGCCAGAAAAACATGCTGGCCAGTGTACTGAACAATGTGACCTGATGCAGTAGGACATTCTGGTATTTTTGGCATATTACGTGTTGGGACATACTGAATCTTTTTCTGGCATACTAAATAGTATGGTAGTATTGGTATTGGAATTCACAGTGAATGTCTGTCTGTCTGTCTGTAGACAGATTTATCAATGTGATAGCTTTGCAACCATGCATGATGCCATCAAGAAACTGAACAGTTGTGTATTTCAAGATCAAAATGAAGGTGGAGTTTGAAGATTGGTGTGGCCTGGGAAATGTAGCCAGAGGTAGGGGGGTAGGAGGTAGGGAAGGAGCCATGGCCCCGCAACATTACCCCCCTGGCTCACAAAACTTTAAGTCCCTGACAGACTAAACTGTCGGTCGGCAGTCAGTCAATGCTGGGCCGACGATGAACGTCTGTCGCCCTAGTCGTTGCTGTGTGTCCCGCACCGTTGCCCCTTATCTTTCCTTTTTGGCTGACTCAGCATGTTGAATCAGCATCTGCGCCAACAGCTGAGCCTGATGGTGAATGAAATGACATTGATTGGCAGTTCAGCTCAGCGCACAAGAAGAGAAACGGAAGTGAGGAAAGTAAACAAACAGCTAAAGTCAAAAAGGAGTGAGACAAAAACAAGCTTGTTAAGGAGGTAAGATTATTTTTCATTAGCATTTTAGCTCTTTAGCAGAAATGTTTTTTGATGTTTGTGTCATTGTTCACCGGTGCATGGTAAATATGCTCTGTTCTTTTAACTTGTGTTGTTAATGTGCTAACTAGCATCAAGACACTCTTCAGTTTCCCTTTTTGAATGACAGTGACAGACTACTGCTTTCTGTTGCTATGGAGACTTTTTCCTTTCACACAGGCGCAAAACATATGTTACGGCTGTTGGCTGTAGTCTTTGTCATGTGATCAAGTGTAACTTTTTTTACTTGGCAACGTCAGGCAAGGTAGCAGGGGGCCTTTGCTGCTGCTAGCTCTCTAAAGTCGGTTCAGTGAGTCTGGGCTTTTACACGTGTGCAGTTGAGATCACAGTGAAGGCAGGGTTTAAAGATAAGTGTGGTCCAAGCAAAGGCGACAGGAGTAGGGGGGTAGGAAGTAGGAAAGGGGTCCCTGTCCCTCCACTTTACACTCTCAGATTGCTATAGAGACTGGACTGATCCCAACACAAGATGGTTCCTAGTTTTAAGATCTTATTGATTAATTTTACAGGGTCTTTCTCACCCTGTAAAAGAAAAAAAGGCTGGCTGAGTTGGTTTCATCTTTTAAATCACCTTTAACAGGCTTTACCTGGTAACCATTTTTTCCAGGATCAAACTATTGTATATCTCGTGTCTCCTCAGTATGCCTCTATCAAGGTGAAAAACATCCTGATCTCCCTTTTTGGTGCATTAAAAGTATTTTTCCCAGTTGACAACACTCTGCTGCTCATGCAGATTTCAAGAACTGTCAGGACTTCATGATGTTAAAGTTCACATTTGATGCTTTTATGGCTGTAACACAATCTGAAACAAATGAGATCCACAGGTGTCAGAGACAGTAATTATTAACACCTTAAATACCTTCAGGTTTCTCACTACAACAGTCGGCCGATATGCATAATATTTAGCAGATTCCACCAGAACTGGCATTAAAGTTTCAGCTAAATCTGACACTTTGAGCTCTATCAGGTAATTAGTCAGCTACCAAGCTAAACAAAGCACAAATTAACATGTATAATAATGAAAAGCCCCAAACTGTGAGCTCCATTTGTAATGTACAGAATGTGCTTGCTCTCTTCTCCAATAAAGAAAAGGAGCATTTTTTTCTGCTATTGAAGTGTTTCCATGGTCAGTTACACAGTAACATCCCCATTAGTGAATTCTGGAGATCCATCGTCAAGCATATTCAAAGCAAACCATTGCCCATTCATCTGGTCCCATTACGGAGGCATGCAGTCCCACAACTCATGGCAGATACACTGGCAGAAGCCGTACACCATGATCATGACAAGGCTGGCAGGAACCAGGCTCACCAGCAGCACCCCGAGCGTTGTCCTCTGCATGATGAGCAGGTAAACCCCCATGGGCAGTGAGCTGAAGTACAGCAGCCCTAGCACCCACACCAGAGCCCGAGCCGAGGTCTGGCACAGGAGGGCCGCACAGTTCCACACCGTCCACCTCTGCGTGATGGACGCCATGGAGTCCAGACTTGATGAGCGGTAGCCTCGGTTTGATGTGTGAGATCCATGTGGCTGGTGGTGGAGGTGGAGGTCCTGTGTGGAAATAGGCATTGGCGGAGGCTCCATGATGGTAATGACCACAAAGTTAGGGGACCCTCGAATGGAGGAGTAGGTGGTGGAGGAAGAAGACGCAGATGAGGAGGAGGAAGGGGGCATCACAGGTAGGTTGCTGCCCATCAGCGAGCTCAGGCGCCTGGGGCTGAGGAGCAGCTCCGTGGTCGCCTCCTGGTGGAAGTGCAGGTTCCTTTGATTCCTGCTTTGGAGGGCCAGTGCCGCCACCAGGTTGCAGTCATCTGGCAGGCTGCTCACCGCCTCTCCAGGCAGTCTGGTTATGTAGCGGCAGAATGGGCACACAACAGCATTGGGAGGTGACTCACCCAGGTCCAGGATCTTAGCGAGGCATTTGGCGCACAGACGATGGCAGCACTCGAGCACCTTTGGCCTACGACTTGTCAGGTTGTACGCACAGTAGCAGATCTTACACTCCAGCTCCTCTGTGCTCAGTATGTCCACATGGCCACCACCACCTCCACCATCCTCAGGGCTTTGCAGCTCAATCGTCATCCTCCCCCTGAACTCTATCCTGCGTCGAGATCAACAGAAAAATCCAACCAACAGCTCAGGTCCAGGCTCAGCAGCGAGGGGCACGGCAAGTTTCCCATAGATGGAGACGGTGACAATGGTCCACTCCACTGAAGGTCTGGGGTTCATTATGGCTGTCCAACAGGCTCCTGCAGTGTATGTGTGTGTGTGTGTGTGTGTGTGTGTGAGAGAGAGAGAGTGAGAGATTTGGGAGCTGATGAGGGAAGCCCCTCGTGAGTTCTGGCCTCTGGGGTTGGCCTGCCTCTGAGCAGTTGGGGTAACGCTGCTTCGTTTGGGGCAAAAAAGCCTTTCATAGGCCGCATGAAAAAAAGGGAGAGAAAGTGAGAGAGACAGAAAGAAAGACATGAGAGAGAAAGAGAGAGAGGGAGAGAGGGAGAGAGATAACTGTTAACACAGCATTAGAAGAGAACAAACAGAGGCGAACGGACAACAAAGCAAAGCCTGTACAAACCAGAGCTGGAATTTTCGAGCCTGATCTTTTGTTGCTCAGTGAAATTCAGTCCAATTAGTGGCTCACACACACACACACACACACACACACACACACACACGAAACACACACAAATATAGTGTCTGCACGATACGTTTAAGTGTGTGTAAGTATGAGTTTGTGCACACTGTGTGTACAAGTCATTGCAATAAATTAGTGTGTGAGCTTCACTGCGAGTGAATGCACACTTGAATGAATGAATGTGTGTGACAGTGTCCGTGAGTGTGTGTATATGTGTGAGACAGTGTGTGTGTTCTCTCTGTTTCATATCCCTCTGTTTTGCAGTTTTTTTTTAAAATTAAACAAATCTCTTTGCAGCTAAATAAATCTCACCATCACTTTTTTCTTGGACAACACACTCTCACTCCAACCTTGTCATATATTGACGTTTTGGTCATGGACTTTCCACGTCCACATATGAAGTGCAAGATACCCTGGGTGTGTTGGCTGTTGACATTCTGTGACACTGTGTCAAGTTCTGTCTGTCACATGCATTATCTTCTTTCAAAATACACTTCCATTTTCACTGGTAATTTAACGTTTACATACAGTCTCTTTCAAAATAAAAGCACTCTGTCAGTATAACATAGCGAATTGACTTTTTTTTCTTCAATAACAAAAACATGTGGTTAGGTTTAGGAAAATAGAACAGGGTTTGGTTTTAGACTTTTACGGGACACGAACACCGCTCTCTCAGGTGAAAGTACACAGGGGTGTTTCTAGGATGTGAGGACATTTAAGGCTTAGCCAACGCAGTCTCAGTCCGAAAACATGGAAAACCGGTGCTTGGACAGTGATGTCAGGTGTCAGACATCGATGAAAAAAAAACATCCTTTCACGTCGGCATAATACACGGCCGGTCCCTGTTATTATTTAATGCTGCCAGGCAATCAGGGGGAGACATGGTGGTGCAACAATGAAAGTTAAGTGGGCGAAAAGTCCAAGTAGGGTAGGTGTGAGGGGTATAGGATGGGTCCAACAAGCACCAACTTTCACCAAGGAAACCAGTGTTTGCTTCCCGCACGATTGTAAAGCCAAATCCTGTTCTCTTTTCCTGAACCCAACCACGTGCGTTAGTTATTGAAGGAAAAAAATGTTAATATGTAAACTGTACATTTCCTGTGAAACGGAAGTGTATTTTGAAAGAAGGTAATGCATGTAACAGGTGAAAGTTGACACTGTGTCCCAGAACCTCAACAACCAACTTGACAGTACCTTGCATGATGCTTTTTTAATGAACTCTGGCACCTTAAGCTGCTCTCACTCTGCCAGGTGGTAAATGGCAGCCTCCACTAATTTCAATGAGGGGGAGGTGGCAGAGGGGATTCGGCTTAGAACATGGCAGTAGGGGTATGAAGCAGTTGCTGCCCTTGTGAACAATACTGAGTTCACCATGTTGAACTTCGGGCAGTAGCTAACTGATTTTTGACCATCAAATAGAAGGTATCATGTAAGCAGAAAGACGACAAGATGGAGGAGCTGATAATGTTGGTCTGAACACAGCGTCAGCAACTTATGAAGACAACCACAAGAAAAACTGGACCTGCAATATTTCCACCAAACTTTAGATGACTGGTAAATTGTCCAAATATGTAGAAATATTTGTTAATTTCAATGATTTCTATTGTCTTACTACATTATGCAGCTATTTACATGACGCTGACGTTTTCTGAAGCACCTGCCCGTCAACACAGCTCTGGACTGTAGTGGCAGCAGCTGCTTTAAAGAATACTTGGATTTTTTGGGGAATGCTCCTGTGGGTAGGCGGTTGTCAGGATGGTTATCGTGTGGTGGTTTAAAGGCAGCTTAATGTATATTAAAAGTACGAATAAACATTCCAAGTGTGAATCAGTTTATTTTCTCTGTGAATTAGAAAGTGTTCAGGGGCCAGATTTGGCTGGAAGTTGAATGTCACTGCATTAGATCAAAACTTTTGGCATGAAATTTTATTCTTGTCCTTGAAAATAGGCTAGTAGCATGACAAAAACAAATCTAACTCATTGTCTACATACTTAATGTGGAGATTTTAACCTGAAGTGGGTTTGCTCATTTGTCACAGAGATGAAAATCATAGCAGCTGCAGAGCTTCATGTCAGCAGAACCATCACGATGACAGCTGAAGCAACTGCTGCGTGATAGGGTCGAAAGGTCAAACTTCAAACCTGTCTTGAGAACAGACCTGTAGGTGTGAGTCTGTGTTGCAAGAAAAAAGAGAAGCTTGACGTAGTGGTGTGGAGCGAAGGGGCAGACCCGGCAGCGGAAAGTGGAGCAGGTCATTGTTGGAGATCACGATTTGGCACTGAGCTCTGATCTTGATTCAGGTCCAGAACAGTGCAGGCGGTGGTGTAAAATGGGTCATGTTCTCTTTGTAGTTCTTAGTTTCGCCGTTACTTCCCAAGACTGGTTCATTCTGACTCTGTCATGTGTGGCAAACGGCCGAGTCCACTGTCTGTCATACAGCGTCTCCCACACACAGGCAGTATTCATCAAGCTATCATTGTATTTGCTGGATAAATTGTTTAGGACATAAAATTACAAGTTTACAAGTCACAGTAGTGTTATTCAACGACCTCAAAGATTGTTACAAAGCCAAATGTATGTTTTCTGTGACTGCAGGTGCGTGAGTGTTCCTGGGCAGACCATTGAGGTTGTTTTATACTGCAAAATGAACTGAATTTGGCAAATTGGCAGGACTGGGCCCAAAACGATGCCTCCTACGGTACTTGGCTTCAAGGCTGAGCAAAACTTGTCAAAACTCAGCATTGGTCACCACTCCTGCCTAATGCACAGAGCATTCCGTGTGACACTTGTGTACTCTCTCTGGTGTGGTGTGATGAATCAGGAACAAACTGTCACTTTTTGGCTCAAACCAGTTGATTATCCTGACAGCAGAATGATATGAGGTCCCCCACAGCCAGCTTTGTGGCAACGAGCTCCAGAAAATACTAAAACAAAGACACAAACAATTTGGCTAACTGCTGGTAAGCAAGTTACACCATGGCAGATTTCTGATGAGGCTCCAATCAAGCCAGCGGAGTCATCCGTAACATGATCTCAGTCCAACAAATGACTCTGCGGCCAATATCATTACAAAAGCATCATTATGATAATTGGAAGACCTTTTTTAACATACACTTTAACCAACAAAAACAAACTTGTTCAGTAAAGGTTATATACTAATAAGTAGGAGTGTGTTGATAAATGCACCACACTGTACTATTAATATTGTGTTGTATTTGTAATGATTTAAACCTTTTTTTTAAAGCTGCAGTAGGTAATTTTTGACCACTAGGGGGCAGAAAAATAAACTAACTCCAATTTAAAATCTAGCAAAAACAAAGCAATGTTACCATTTTGTAGCTGTCATATTAGTGTCCGATATTCACTGTCTGTTAACCTCCAGTTTGATCTGCATAAAGTTCTGTGAAAAATATTTGGCTATTTAGCGTCTAGATTTTCCTCTGTCTTCATCAGCAAGTCATTAAGGGTGCTTTCAGACCTAGAGTTGTCTTGCTTTGGTCTGAATCAGGGACTAATTTTGTTACAAAGTTGCATAATTGCCTAGAGTTGGTTCGTGTTCTCACGGCAGCATTTACAAGCGGACCAGATAAAATGTCTTGTGTGAGAAAGCTGCTCTTGATTGGTCAGAATTTCCATGCGTGAAAAATCCAGGAAGTAAACCAAACGTTGAAGAAGAGTACACTTGTAAGATAAATGTGACACTTTCTAATGTCACAATGGAGGGACAGCTACACAGGTTGATTTTAGCGCTGCTCATCGTGGACTATATTGCTGTCATTGTTCATTATAGTCAAACCATACAGTTTGAAAACGAGGCGCGGCTCCAACTAGAAAACAATGTTTTGATGCACTGGATGTGCTGAATGTGCATATTAAGGCAGTACAGGAGGAGGTGCACATTAATAATCCTCCAGGACTATAACATGCTCATGTTTAACCCAAACAATGTGTCATGTGACTGCAATTGGTTTGGATCGAGGTCGGAACACGTTCTCACCACAGATTAACTGCACCAGAGTTCATTTGTAACCAGACTGAGACCACCTCTTCAAGAAGGTCTTGGTCCTGTTGTTTTAGTGCATATCTGAGTGCGTTTGGTGTGTTCGCACCTGCTCACACAAACTGCACTTAGGGGGCAAATGGACTTGAGCTTGATTGAACTGAACCAAACAGGGCAGGTGTGAAAGCACCCTGAGATTGTCTGCTGTTTAGCGCGGATCGAAATATAAAAATTACATACAGGTTTATATATCTATTGATACATATTGACACTGAATATTTAAATTGGTTTAAATACTTATATTCCACAGTATCGATACACTGGCACCAGCTGTGCTTTCTTGCTTGCGCTTATTGTTAATGTTTACAAGAGTCATTTTGTTGTTTTCTGCTACTAACCAAAAAAGTCAAAGTTGTTGTTGTCATTGTCATGTTATAGCCAGGTTATATTCATCTTTAAATAAAAAATTGTAATCAAATGCCCTCAGTGTCTCAATGTTGATATTTTTCAATGAATGTTTATGAAGTTAGAAATTCCAGTATCGAGACAACATTCGTGACAACACTAATGCAGGCTATACAAGATCATGGGGAGTACCACCATACATATATATATATATATATATATATATATATATATTTAGTATATATGTGTGTGTGTGTGTGTGTGTGTGTCTACGTTTATAGGTTGAGTCAATATCAGTATAGACTTCAACATAAAGAAATGACGTCACACACACACACACACACACACACACACACACACACACACAAACCTGACGTCAGTGACCTGAACCACAACAAAACAAGCATCAGCTGAAGCCTAGAGCTGCTTCAAGTCAGAAAAAAAACTGGACTGGATGAAACAGGAAGTTCAGCAATTGTGTCTTTCACAATAAAAGGCATACATTGAAAAACAGTTGATCAGAGAAATGAAATTCAATAAAATTTCAGTAGGTACTCTTCCTCGTTATGTACACTTCCATGGCTGTCAGTTGGACTTCCAGGGGAGGTTCAGCAGTCACATTTACCAAATAGACCTCAGTCATTGCTGATTTTTCTTTTTTCAAAGTTGTGGAATTTTCATCGAATTTTACTTAAGATTTTTCAGATGGTACTGTGATTTTGAAACACTCATCCTCTAAAAATATAAAAATAGACATTATTGGTTGTTGTTCTTTCAGTAACAGTAATGCAAGTACAAAACATAGTTTGCACACATCACACATTTACTGTCTTTTTATTTCTTTTAATTGAAACCCTGCAAACAGTAAGGTTATTGAGTATTTTACGAGAAAGGGGAAATATTTGAGATAAGCTAGAAAATCAAACAGAATTTTGTGTAGAAGACACATGTTTTCCCCCTCCTATCTTAGTTAAGCTTATCAACTTGTTGCTTCCTAGATTTATTTCTTCACCCCCTTTCGACTCTCAGGTTCACATTGGGAACCACTGCCAGGGGTGTTGTAGTAGGGGGGAAAGTGGGACTGATTACCCAGGGCCCCAATGGGAGGGGCCCACTGGAAAGCCTGGGATGAAAAGTTGGGTTGGTTGGTTTAGTTGGTTTGCTTGGTTAGTGACCGTCGGTTGTACACTACTTTTTGCAATGCATTGTGGGATACATTGAGTCCATGTATGTAACTGCAGCGGTCCAAGGAAATAATAGCCACGCATCATACAGATGTCTTTTAAAATTTTCTTTCCATACTTCACTCCTCCACAGACACCTAGACACTGTGAAAACGTGTGCGCCTCTTGGAATGTGCTGCCTATTATTAATGTGGGGCCGTATGTGCTTCTTTTGCAACCATGTCGGCTCTCTGCTGTGTAGCCGTGTTGGTTCTATCTGCCGCCATACTGCCTCAGCCCATAATGCAACACGTGCGACCCCTGAACTCTGGTCATGTGACCTATTACTCTGATCAAAAAAATAAACTTACATAAAGAACAATACCTTTTCTTTAACTGAACAATATTTTTTAAAGGTGGCGTGTTTTAAAATATCTTCAATTAAAACTACCTTTTTCAACTACAATGACAACGTTAATGAAATTATGACAGAAAATATGAAAATCATTTTAATTAAATGTCAGTACAAAATGTCTCTCAGACTGTTACACACTATATAGGGTATAATAATATTTATGTTTAGATTGTATAGACATTATGCACATTAGTAAGGTTGCAGTTTCAATGACCTTTATTTTTGAAAACCCAGCACCGGAAGTACTATCACAAACCATCCGGTTAACTTGACACTGGTCTCTCTGCTGGAGGAGCGGCAGAGCAGAGGGGCCCCGGTCGTTTTCCAATGTTGGGGAGCCGGGAAACAGGAACCGCGGGTGGCGAGGAGGAGGCTGCCAGGCCGCCGGGGCCGCTGAGCCGGGGACACCGCGGGGAGGAGACGCCTCCCTGCCGCGTAGGGTGTCGTCTCACCGGCCTGGTCAACTGGAGGCAGAGACCGTGCAGGACTTCAGCGCTGTTTGCTGCAGCCAACACGGTGATCTGGTAGGCACCATGACGCAGGGATATCACACAGGCTCCCATCCTGATTACACTGAGCTCCTGGTAATTAACGGAAACATTATTATGACTTTGGATTGACCCCAAAACCTCAGTTTAACATCATAATCATGTTTATATGGCTTTAATTAGATTTACAGCCATCTTTTGTTTTTGCTTAAAATCCTTTTATCCTACGATAGACTAATAATAATAATGTTTTTAAAGGCATGCAGTGCCTGTTTGTTCACAGTTCCAGCAACATTGAACAAAATCAATGGTATTCTTTAGGGACTGTTCTTTACTCAGTGAGGTGGCTGGGGTGTGACTGTTTTGTTTTTTTTTTTAATTGTAATTTTGACCCTCTGGAAAGCTACAAATATTTTTCCTTGAGCCTCCCTGAGTGACTGGTGGGAAATGCATGACCCTCCCTCAAACATAAACTAGTTATTAGATTTTTAAAATAAAAGTTAACCCTTAAAAACCTGAACAAAAAGGCTTGATTTCTTTTAAAAACGTGGGATGAAGACACTGAGCAATGAAAGAAGAAATGACCCAAACAAATGGCAAGAAAGTAAAAAGAGAAAATTCAAAGAAAAAATTTAAAAGAAAAGAAAGTTCAAAACAAACAAACTATGAAATGACCTGGAAAGAGTGCTTAAAAATTAAAATAGTAAAATAGTAATTTTGTGATATAATTTTAAAATGTAATAATGATAGTAATTATGAATATAGTTTTTCTTTAGATGTTTTCTATTTTCCCTAGTTTTTGTTTTTAAATCATTTTGTAAATCTTTTTTTTTTTTTTTGCAATTCGTGGGACATCTCTTAAGTTGCTCATTGACTTTTTTTCCCATGTTTTTGAAAGAAATGGCACCAATTTGCTCAGGGTTTAAAGGTTTAAAGACTTGCGAAAGGCGTCCGAAAGTAGCACAAGAAAAGAGATGTTGCTCCAGGTTTCAAAGAAAGGAAGCCTCAGTTTTTCACTCGTGTCCTTCATGCTAAGTTATTGTTGACGAAATATCACTATTTATATACACAGTTCGTTGCACATGATGTGTCCAGGGACCATCGGAAATTTGAAAATCCAACGATAATTTCTGTTCTTACAGGTTCTGGCTGTGATAAATGGTGTAATTTTTTAAATGAAAACATGCCCTCCGAACCAAATTTGAGGTAAATAAATGCAAAATACAACTATTTAAATTCGTATGCACCTCCCCTAAGCAAAATTTTTTTTAAAAAATATCTGACATGCCTCCCCCTTGTTGCGCCCCCTCATAAGTAACAAACAGTCCCTTAGATCTCATGATGTCACTAAAATATTCAGATGATATTAAAAATATGAGGATTGCAAATAGTTTACATTGTTTATCCTGTTTGTGTGTAATTGTTTTCAGAATATTTATAGTTTCTTATATTAGGCTGTATAAATTCACAATAATATCCCACTGTATGTCCTCAATAGTAGGGAAATACTAAATATTTGGACACTGGAATCAGCCTTATCATATACACTATAGGTTATTATATTTTTTTATATGTACTGTTTTATGTTAACTCCCTGATGTTGCTAAAAAAGAAACACCTCACCCTCAGAAATTTCGTTCACATTTTATTAGAGCCCGACCGACACTGGATTTTTAGGGCTGATATTGATATTACGAAGTAAAAAATCTAGATTTTGATATACTGGTTGATATTCCACCCATCTATATATAGATCTATATCTGTATATCTTTTTGTATATATATTTATATCTGTCTGTCTTTGTATCTATACATTGCAATTATGGCTCAAATATGGTTATCAAACACTTTCTTACACATTTTTTTTTTTTTTTTTTACAGTTTAACAGTGAACTTTATTGCCAAAAATGACATCAGTGCACTGAACATTAAACGCCAGTGGGAATTTAATTATTATGAATCACTCCAAGCATTTTTTTCCTGATTATGTTCTTTAAAATCACATCAGTGCACATCAGACAGCATAAACGCCATTACTGATATATCTGTGAGAGGCCAATATCTGCAGATACAATCAGCTGATACATTTTATATATTCATTAGTTAAATTATATTTTCTGTACATTTATATCCCCATACACAGTGGCCTCAGTGGTCTGATTCCTCTGGAGAAACACAAATTTTATTTATTTGAATTTATTTTTTAGCCTAAAAACAGTCAAATGAAAAAAAATACAGACTTAAAAAACAAATAAAAAAGAAAATCAGCCCATAAAAAACTCACCATATGTAATTTATGTGTAATATTAGAAACTCCTCCTCCCCCAAATTCCCAAAGACAACACAGAGGACAGGGAAATAAACTGCAAGGTCTTTGTAATGCTGCGTAATAAATAAAGGAGAAAATTAAAGAAATCATAATACAGAATAGGATATGATCCAATATGGTCACTCTTAACATCCATTAGTACCATCAGACAGTAAACTTCAGTTCCTTCATTGCTACGAGCAGCTAACAGCAAAGATGACAAACTCTGAAATATAGAAGACTGAGAATTTTGACACACACTGATACGACATGATGCTGTCACAAACTGCTGTCTGATGTGAGTGAAACCTTTGTTTTGTTCCTCTTCAGGTTTGTGGCCTTCAGCTCTCTGCGAGCCTACAGCCTCCTGACCGTCTTGCTGGCCCTGCTGGTCGTCACGGTGACCGCAAGAGACGTCGCTCGGTCCAGATCCACAGGTAACATCAAATGACCCTATACTGTGTAATATACACTCACTGGCCACTTTATTAGGTACACCTCACTAGTGTTGGGTTGTCAGAACTGCTTTAATTCTTCGAGGCACAGATTCAACAAGGTGCTGAAAACATTCCTCAGACACATCTCCCTCAACATTAACACATGCTTTAAAATGCCCCCTTTGATATACTGATGAAAAATATAGCTGCATTTGTTCATGATAAATAATATAATAGGAATTAGTTTTATATTTTTCACTTTTTTCTGACACCCAGACCACCTGCCCTTTAAAGCAGTTAGTCAGTGAATCGAGAAAATATTGTAAATAATCTTCAACCGCTGACCTGCTGGAGTCCAGCTCAGACTACCAGATGATTTCACCCTGATGGTGACTCGTTAGCCTGATGAGAAAGGACGAGTCTGCGATGAGGATGACACACAGATGGTGACTCATCAGTCTGACCGTCGCTCACTGTTACCCTCCTGTTTAGACGCACGTGTTCTACATGCCAGTGATGTTTTTAACCAGCGTGATGAAAACAAGATGCAACTCATCACTGTGTGTTTTGATTATCCAGAGAGATGATAAAAGCTTTTTCTTTTTATTCACTGTGGCTCTGACCCTTGTACCTCTTAATATTGGCTGACTGTAAATCCTGCCAAGCCTGCAAATGAGCCTTAATGAACACCGAGTAGAGAGGAAGTCCACTTTAACACTCATATTGACTGTGCTGTTTATACTTCTAGGTCCCTTTTTTATTGTATATTTCTTCCTGTGGGCCGCCTGAACGTACAGCACGTAATGCCACATACAGATGCTGCCAGTTGGTACAATAAAATAGCAGGAAATATTTCAGGGATCTCAAACATCAAAAGTCAGTGTTAAAATATTACAGAACGATGCCTTGATATTTGACCATCATTTGGGACAAAATAATGCTCTATGAGAGGAGACGCACAGAGAGCGACTGCTGCACTCCGAGGAGGTCAGATAGTGCTGCAACAAGGCATGCATGATATATAATTGGCCGATACATATCAGCCGATAATGGGACATTTGTAATATGATGCATTATTCCGATAATTGAAATTATAGCCGATAAATAGGGCAGCATCTACACACCCGACACAGTGGGTGGCGCTACATGTACCTTTAAATTTGGTTTGCAAAGGCCAATAAACACAGAGAAGAAGATGAACAACAACTGCAGCACGTTGTTTACAGGGCGAAACATGTCGAGGGAGGGCTGGGCGATATGGATGAAAATTCATATCTTGGTATTTTCAGGCTGACAGGTGATACATGATATATGTGTCTGTATTTTCTACAAAATGAACTGCATGTTTGGTTGCAAGTCAAAGCCACATTTGAGATGCCACATGCACTTTTATAAAAACAGACTGCGATATAAAATAAATAGCAGGGCTGTACGTTAACTTTTTGCACACAACACTGGAGCTACAGATGTTTAAAGGTTTGCAGCACAGGACACAAAACATGAGTATAAAAGTATCAAGTAGGTTTGAAACAACTAAAAATCTTTGAGAGAGAGTTAAAAAGTCGTTTTCCATCTGTTGGCCTTTCAGATGAATCTAATGCTAGAAAATTATTTAAATATTTTTGTTTATTTTGTTTGTATATTGTCTAACTGTCACACTATAGACTGCAACAAACAACAAGACCAGCGATGAGCTACAATCCACCTCACACACAAACTAGCAGTGCAGCGCTATACTGCACGTGTGCTACTGCGGTAAATTCATTCACATGCAACATATAGACCAATGTCTCACTGTAGACTATTTACAGACTCTGTTACAGACTCTGTTGTTAAACTTATTAATAACCTCTAACCATGTGATGCTACAGTTAGTGATTATTTGTATCGTTACCTGGCAGCCTAGTCTGGAGCACATCTCTTTCTCTGGCTGTATGTGTGTCAGACACAGCCGTTTGTCTGTCTGAGTCTGTTAATGAGTGAGGTGAATCAATAGCTCATCGCTATTCTACTCGGTAGTTGTAGGCTAGTTTATTGTAGGACGGTGAGATGGTGCCCAGGTGTGTTTATAAAGATGCAGTGTGACGATATAAACATGTTATATGCCAGATGTAACGCGGACCTGCCGACGTGCATATGAGTCAGCTGTCAGTGTTTGTCTCTGTTAATAGAGACTCCACTCTGCAGTGTAGTTCATACACTTTACTGATACACCAGAGAATCACACAGTAACACTGGGCTTCATCATCTCCCTTTGTCTTACTGTCAACTATAAATTCAATACTGATTAAAAGTAATTTTAACTTCATATCCTTGTATTAATTCTGTTCATCTGTAGTGTGAGGTTATATGCGCACAGGGGTGATGAGGGTAGACCTAATGTTGGCAGGTATGAAGAGTCAGAACTGTTCTTTGTTTTTGTTGTATTACAGTTATGTATTATTAATTTGGTTAGGTCAGAGCTATGGAATATTAAATCCTCCATATTTTCTTACGACATCTTTCACTACTATCCTTTCCTACCCTTAGCTGTACATAAACTACAGGTTATACACTTCTTTTTAAAACACAAAAATGTGAAATTATCGGTATGGTATCGGTTATTGGCAATGAGAAGCAGGTTATTATTGATTATCGGTATCCGTTGAAAAAACTCCATATCTGCGCATCCCTAGTTGCAGCCACAGTAGCATCCAGCTGTTATCTGCAACATCTCTGCATCTGCGTCCTGCAACCTCCCACAGCTCTAAGTACAAACTGTCCACATATTTTTGTTCACTTTTATTCTTAACATGTAGTAAACAGGAGGTATAATGTAGCAGTGAGCAGGTTAAAGGAGATTTGAAGTGTTTATGAATGTACTGTATTGGTCAGCAATAATAAGTTCTGTGTAGATATATACAGCTGCCATTTCCTGTCTTGTCATTCATTATCTGTTTATACAGCGTCCTTATTTTTATTAGTCATTTTACTCTCATTATTATGCCATTTTCCAGAGATGTGACCTACTCAGTGATGATGAATAATAGATGTCCTCTCTCCCACAGGAGCTCACTTATGGCGCAGCATGACTGCAAGGTAGGACAGTGAAGTGCATCTGAGGTGGATGTGTGTTTGTGTGTGTGTTTGGTGTTGGGCAGAGCATTTTAAAGTGAAAGTAGGAAAAAAACAGACATTCAAAACTAGAACCCTGAGGGACCCCACAGGTGGTGTCTGACTTTTCTGAGGAGTGGTGACCCAAGGATGCAAGGTACGATCAGAACCACCTCAGAACCAATCCTGAGAGACCAACCCACAGTAAAGAGTACAGTAAATAGACAGGAGAAAAGACAGAAGACATCTTAATTCTGCTCAGTACCATGTCAAACTCTTTTTACAGACAGTTCAAAAAACACTATGAAAGTGTTTTAACTGAAAATGTTAACAGAATAGACGAAACAAAAATCTCAACTGTGTTAAATATATTCTGTAGTAAGTAAGTTTTACACTCACAGTCTGTAATTTCTGCCGTTTCTCCATCAAAACAATAAGAAAAGACGCACTTTGATGGCGTTGTGAAGTCACAAGGGGCCATTTATTGCCGGTGAAAATCTATCTGACTTGACTCAGACAGAAATCATGGTTACAGATGAGAAAACGTTATGTCTAGGGTTGCAACAGTTTGAGATTTTCACCGTAAGGTAATAGTTTCAGAAAATGTCATGGTTTCACAGAATCACGGTATTACAGAATTATTATTATTATCAGTCAGAATGACCCTTAAAGGGATGAAAACAGAAGGGTTAATGTTGGTTAAATAAACGTTATATTACTGTAATTGAAACTTGAAACCATTTTGCTCGTGGAGGTATGTGTTAAAAGTCTCCTTTTCGAAAATAAGAAAAAAAAAAAAAAAAAAATATATGATAACCGTCAACTTTTATATCACGGTCACCCTGAAACCAGTATATCACTGCAACCCTACTTATGTCATTTTATTCTAATGAATTAGCCACAAGTCGGACTTTACGTTAAGTTGCTATCTTGCCATTAGCATTAGACGAGTCGACTATACAGCTGCTAGGGGTGGGAGCAAAAATCGAAACAGCATAGTATTGCGATATTTTTGTGTGGCAAAATCGTACCGTCACACAGTGCCAAGCTAAATTAATAATATGACAAATACAAAGTAAACTTTAGGTAGCAAACTAGCATAGTATAATAAATTGTTTTTTCAGTCCACTAGATACATTTAGCTGTTGCAAAGAAATGGCTGAAGTGAGATGAACAGACTGAAAACTTTATCTTATTAGATAAAACAGATATTGACAAAGTTTTCCTTTGGGACATAATATACAGTTGAAGAAAGGTAATAAATCTCAGTATATAGCAGTGTATTTTATCACAATACTCAGTGTATCGCAACATATTTAAAATTGCAATAATATCGTCCGGACCGTCGTGGTGAAGAGGGACCTGAGCCAGAAGGCAAAACTTTCAGTTTACTGGTCCATCTATGTCCCAACCCTCACCGATGGTCATGAGATTTGGGTAATGACTGTGGGATGGCTGGGCTCAGCCATAGGGATAGGGTAAGGAGCTTGGACATCGGGAGGGAGCTTGGAGTAGAGCCGCTGCTCCCTCGCGTGGAAAGGGGCCCGTTGAAGTGGTTTGGGCATTTGATCAGGATGCCTCCTGGACAGCTCTTGTTAGAGGTGTTCAGGGCACGTCCAAATGGTAGGAGGTCCCGGGGTAGACCTAGAACACGCTGGAGGGATTACATATCTCATCTGGCCTGGGAACACCTCGTGGTTCCTGGAAAGGGTTGCTGGAGAGAGGGACGTCTGGAATACTTTGCTCAGCCTACTGCCCCTGCGACTTGCTTCAGATAGGCGGTTGACAATGGATGGATGGAAAAATATTGTATCATGACTTAAATGTCGTGAAAATTATATTAAAAATAACCTCATGAGTGTGTTGAATTTTGTTGTAATCTATTGTTGTAAATCTTCTCATAGACTGTTAGTTTACTGACAGTTGGAGCACTTTGAGGTTCAGATGGACATGAAACTCTTTGTTCAGTCATCAGTACAAAAGACAAACTGTTAGAAAACATCCATTTCATTGATGAAAACTCAACAGTACAAGTCTGCAGACAATAAAGTGGAAGGATAGAAGTCCAGTACATTTCACAAACTCCATTAAAAATCTGTTACGTGCCACTAATGGTGGGCTGTAGCTAAAGATTACGAGATTCTGGGTCAGTGTGGGATAAATTCAGCAGCTGTGATGTCAGTGTTTTGTTCCTTATTTCAACATCAAAACATTCTGGATTTGCTTCAGCTCTACATGGCAACACCCGCTGAGACCTCTGGGTAGTGTGGCATTTTAGAGCCATGATGAGAAAAACAAAGCAGATGTAACTTTACAGTGAAGAAAAAAAAACACCTCAGACCTCTTTGTTACTCTGTTAGCAAGTAAAGCTTTGGTTCTTTGGCTCTGCCTGCTCATGGTTAACATGGACAATGAAAGTATTTTTGCCTCCTGTGAAATGTTTCTGAAACTAAAACTTTTAAAGATTAATTTCTCTTACATTTGAATCACGCCTTGCTGATATCATGTACACCAGAAATGTGTGTCGTGTCAAACTGGATGCACAGATGTGTTGTTGAACATACACTCATCTAAATCTGCACTGAACTGTTGAGAAGCTGCAGCTGCACAGCTGATTGGTCACACATGACTGTCTAATCTAATCCTCTCTGAGACCAAACCATGTGACGGCTCAGTTTCAAGTCACAAATCACTCACTCACCTTGTGAAAGATTCATCAATCAGGGACACCGTAGGAGAAAAAATAATTTGAGAATAAAGCCAAAATATTATTTTACTACTCTGTGGTAGTAAACAGTTGAGAGCAGTGTGCCGGAGCCAAGTGAGTGATAAGGATGACCTCAGGTTTTAGGTTTCACCAATAAGCAGAGAGCGCAGTCATGCCATCGGAAAGTGATTAGTGGGCTCTGTGACTCTGAAAATGATATGAAAGACAGTCAGATGCTTGTCTACAGACAGATCCTGGTACCTGCGGGAGAGCCAAATGAGGGGAGAAGCAAAGGTGACCTGCGGTATCATTTATGAAACAGTGCGTAGCATCCATGGTGTACCAGGGGACAACAGCCCTAAATGGTTTGTGCCAAAGAATATTATGATTTATAAATCCCTGTGTACACCTGCCAGGGAGTTTCCTTTTATAAATCCCAAATCAACTTGGAATGGTCTGTACGTGAATCCGCCTCGTATCTCGCCCTCTACAGGCACCTCATGAATGCTGATGTGTTGAAATGAGCCTGCTATGAATGAGTCATGGCAACACTGAGTGTCCGAGGGGGAGAATGTGAAATAGTGAGCAGAATTTGATTTCAGAACTGAAAGGTGCTTATGGAAAAGTTATGTCTCACAACTGCTGGTTTGAATGTTTATGAAAAAGTGGATCTATAAGTAACGTGTGATATTAAATGAAAATTTAATGTGTGCATGTTTCATTTCTACAATCTGGCTTCAGTTTACCACCTCACTATCTGCATCACCAGTTTCTCCTGTCTCCAAAATGTGCGTCTGCATGGGTCCTGGACTGTCCATGACAACTTCATATATGGCTGTATTTTCTGCTGTATTTAAATTCTTGTCAACTAAACTAAACTAAACTAAAGTTTCCATATAGGTGTGCACATTCTCCTGTCAAGTTTGTTTTTATAGAACACAACTTTTGTGTGAGAAATGGCGTACTCCTCTTTCAGGCCTCATTTTGGGTGTATGCAGCAGAGACTCCTGAGCTGTATGCTAGTCATAAAAACTGCAGGTCTTCAGAGAGTAAATATATGAGTAGCTGTAGGCCTCAGTATGGACTGTCAGGAAATGCCAAAACATGCAGTCCAGTCTTTATTTAAGCATATTCATTTCATCGTATTTCATTTAATGTTTTGCTGATGGGGAATTTTATGTATATTTTATATATACATGCACGATAATATTAGCACGTCAGCTGTATCGGCCAATAAAATGAACTATTAGAATTGGGCATCATGCTTTTTTTTATTTTGCACAATGACTGAATATTACATACATTGAAAAGCACTGTATTTCATGTCTCCATCTGCTGGTGGGCCGTCACGATAAGAGTATGCATGCATAGTATGATGTTAATGCCACTACAGAGGAGAGTTGATGATCAGTTAAAAGTAGGTGGAGAAAACAGTGGATATATCGATATCAGTATCAGTTATCAGCCACATATGTTGTTATATATTGGCAAAAAATCCAATATTGTGCCCACCTAATATATATATATGTGTGTGTGTGTGTGTGTGTGTGTGTGTGTGTGTGTGTGTGTGCGTGCCACTGTGTATAAAAGGAAACAGTATGTACGCTAACTGGGCTACTTTTCAAATGAAAAACTGGGAATATGTCTGTGTTATATATTTATCATCTACAAATAGTAGTAATAGTATAGTTGATTTTTTTTTGCTGGATTTACACACCATAAAAACTTCTTTGTCTGGATGTGTTTGTCCTACTCTCCTTACATTTGAACTTTTACCACTTGGTGGAGCCTGAGCGCATAAAGAAGGTTCAGGTGACAGTATGAGAGACTTAGTAAACCCCCCACATGACCTTAAACACCAGACTGAGCACAGACTGTAGAATAACAACACAGGATCAACATGCCCAGTCAGTTACTATGGGGTGAAAAAAGAAGAAGGTTGATTTCTTCTCAAAAAGCTTGTCTCGGTGTAATGTAACTGTTGAATTAAGCTACTCTTGTTTATTTTATGGACTTTTTTATTAGATTAATTATTGTATTGTACTTCATATGACTTAACTTGATGTTGATCATTCACTGGTGATGCTTTGTTTCGTCCACACACAAAGCAAAATGTAATTAATTTGGCAGCTCTGGCTTCTGCACAGTGAGACACATGTCCTCTTTTGCCTCTCTCCACTGGAGTCACCTATCTGTCTGTCACCACTCCCCCCCGTCATTTGGCACCGCAATTGCATGAAGGGACAGAGCTGTCCTCCCTCTCTGTCTCCACATTCTG